TCGGACTTGTATGATAAACGAATGGATACCATGACATTGACCTTTTGTGTACAACTGAGCTACTACGATGCAATAGTTTGCTGTTTGACCAACTGCAAAAAGATATGTCATAAAAGAAAAAGATAATTTACATTACCATAGGATATTATGATATACTAACGTCCTCCGGGCCACCACTTGTATGCAGTGAGCGTGGGGCTGTGCAGCACGAACTGCTTGGTGGATGCGTCGTACGTCGCTGTCGTCTCCAGACCGCGGATGAACGTTCCGTGACCTAACTCCGTCTGAAGAAAAAAAAACAAATGTCAAATGCCGTTTCCAATGGCAGATAAGTAACTCCTATAATAAAACTTTATCGTTATTTGGTACCATATCAATCAGGATACAGAGGAAATTTCGCAATGTTTACTGACTTGAGCATAACTACCGATGATGCTGCAATTCCAAGCACGCGGCAGCCATTTTTCTTGTTGTTCCTCATTGCCCTGATTCAAAATGGCGGGCATGAACATGATGTAATGCAGTCCTAGCGGAGAACCATCTCTTAACACTGACGATCCAAGAAGACCCCCGACCACATCCCTAAAAATTATTAAAAAATCCAATATACTCTTTATCCCAGAAATTCTAGACAACGGAAAAAAATGGTAGCACCCAAGACTATTTGTTACCTGTAATTATTTATACTTGTCTTGCCTTCTTCCTGCATTTTTCGAACCAAACTAAACGCAACCACGGAATTTCTTATAGCATTTTCATATCTCTCCTTGTGACTAAGATACTCTTCTGGTACTCCATCGAATACCTCTCTTTTACTGAGCATTACATTTTCTAAAAAAAAAAGTTTTAAATAAATTATTACTATTGTTTTTGGATATTTTCTACTATACATTTTTATATTCTAATTCCCGATTAAAAGCCAAAAAACAATTTAAGATAACTGCTCGTTCTATCGCCTGCAAGTTGAAGCTGATCTTTTTACTGTTTACGCCGAAAAAAACATATTTTCATCTCTCTTATTCTTTTTACAGTACAACATGTACAAAACAGATTACTATATATTTTTATACTATTTTATGTTTAAAATTCTCTTTAGATGATAAATATTGCTAAAGCTAATTCTTATAATCGATTTAAAATGAATGCAACATGCGCTACAAAATGAGATCTAATTTCGATACATATTTAGGAATTACAAAATTCGTTGTATAAAATGTTGCTATTTAGAATAGTGCAGAATGATTAATGAATGCATAATTAAGTCTAAACTTCAATTCGACTGAAAATTATCCTCATAAAATCACCTCTGTCTTTCCTCTCTCTCGTTTTCTCTGGTCCTCCATCAATCAAAGTAATTAAATCTTGGATATTGAAAGAACACTTATCACGTTCCTTTTGCAAATCTTCATTTATTTTATGCATTTTTTTTTGGTACGTTTAAAGTTGCAATAAAGGTCACAACACGTCGTCAGCTAATATTGTTTATGTTGAGCTCAAACGCGTCTGCACAGCTCTACGACCATGCGATACTGACTTAGCTGCACCACACTTTCATATTCGTGACATTAAAAAACTTGTTAAGAGGTTAAAAGGTTTGAATATGTTTGTAATAAAAACATTAATTCAAGAAAATGTTTGATTTAATTTTTACTAGCGGTCGCCTGCGACTCCGTCCGCGCGGGATTAAAAAAGCTTAGTGTTCTTCCAGGCTATGTTATATATCTATGCTAAATATCAACGATATCCACACAACTGTTCGAACATCCAACCATACAAATTCACATTTATAATAATAAGATAAATGTCGCCGGAGACTAAAGGTGCTGAAATAAAAAACTTAATTTGGCGCCTATGTGTAGTATGAAAACGGTTGAGCCTCTCTGGTGATAGCTTCTAACATCCATCCATGTATCTAAACTTTCGCATTTATAAGTTAGATAGATAGGTATTTTATAAATAATATGCGTGAAAAGAATTAATTTCCAGACAGTAGTCACAAATTTATAATTGTACTGAGTTTACACAGTTCAGAGGGCAATTTCAAGGCCTCTGACATTACATTTTTGACAAATTATTTTGGGATTCACTTAATAATAAAACAAGGATGGATTCAAAGCATTTATTGAATCATTTTTTTACAATAGGGTTACTTAAGAGTTACTTCTTCGCGGTGACGGCGGCCTCATCCTCGCGAGCAAAGGACTGCAGCAGCTCCTCTTTCTTGGCGGCGATGCGCTCCTCACGGCGCTTGCGGGCCTCCTTCACCTTGTTACGACGGGCCTCGGCCTGGTCACTGAACACAATGATATAATATATAAAACAAGTTGTTAATTAAAATAAAGGCTATAGACAGTCATATACAATCGGTCTAATATTATTAATGTGAAAGTCTATATGGATGTTGGTCACCACGTAACGCAAAATGAGCATCAGGGCAACTATAAAACTACTTCAAATAAGATCATATTAATATTAGCTCCCCCCGTAGGCCTAGCCTATGGCACAAAGTCTGGAATAACTGCACAAAATTTTTTTACTTGTGCAAAGTCATGGGCAAAAACTAGTGTAACATTATATGTAATGGTTTAGAGTAGACGAACAACACCGTGATTTTTCACTACCAAAACACTTAAACATAATGCTATGCCCTCATTCTCTTTGAAAACCAGACATAATTGTTTTTGCAATATTTGTTAATTAATCAGTCTCGCAAATAATAACACCCCCTAGTCCTTAATGGGTTTTATACCTACATGTACAGAATATGTCAAGTATTTAATTAATGTGTCATAAATAGAAATATAAATATTATGTTTTGTTTGTAATGAAAGAAAATTGTCGTAATTGAAACCTTATCTGAAATATTAACTACTGTAATTATATTATTTTACTTTTATAATAATAGAGTAAGAAAATAAATCTTATGACAATATAAGATTTTTATTCCATAATTATAGATATCAAACTCGGTACTATAATTTTTAAATATGTTTTAATATAAAATAATTTTAAAGTGAAAAAAAATTCTTAATAAACTACTTCCAAGGTCTTTTAAATGGTATAAATTTTTTGTCACTTCTAATACACAATTTTCAAGGCCATACCTCAACATCTTAGTCCTGGCCTTCTCAGCCTTCTTCCTGTGGATGTACTCCATGAGGACACGCTTGTTCTTGAACACATTACCCTTCGCCTTCATGTACAGAGCATGGTACAGATGCCTGTCAATTTTCTTGGCTGTTCTGTACTTAAGGAGGAGCTTACGGAGTACCCTCTGTCTTTGTACCCACAGTTCCTAGATGAAGAATTTAATTTGTAAATTATCACATTCCATGTTTACATATGTAAATGAACGTAGAAATTAATAATTGTTTTCGATTACAATCCATATCACTCATAGTTGATACAAGTTTATTGGTGATATTCACACTTTATAAGTATTTATGCTAGAATTCTGCATTGCAAGTGATTAAATAAGAGTACATAAAGAAATAAATCAAACATATAACAAATTTAAAATAAAACAGATACAGTACCCTAAAGATCTCAAGAAAAATAAACTATTTTAAGATGAACCACTCACTTTTTGAGGCATACGGGCATTAGCTGTACCTCTTCTTTTACCAAAACCGCAATGACGACCCTTTCTACGTGCTTCAGTGTTCTTACGGACACGGGCGCGCGAGTGCACTGCTACGGGTTTCTTGATGACGAGACCATCCTTGATCATCTTACGGATGTTCTGTCCTGGAATATTATATCAAGATCTTTATTATCAACAGAATTCATTGCCATTTGAAGGAATTATTTACTTTAAGTAAAACTTAGTGCAAATTTCTGATATTCTATAAACAACAAAGAAAATTGGCTAAATATGTCCTATTCGTTATAAGGATTTCTTATCAATTGAACACGCACACTGAATGTATTAGCAAGTTTTGCTTCGATGTCCATGGTGAGACAAAAAGTTCCAAGATTTCGTCTTGCAAAGCCTGGTGCACTATAAATTTAGTTGGGGAAAAGTAAAATATAGGATCATTTTGATCGATGTACTACTTGATTTTCCAACTAATGTAAATATAAACACCAGTACTAGTAGAAAGCGTACTATACAATAACTTTATGGGCTATTTTGCAAACATTTTACACCCTGTTCTTGTAAATGACACAAATAAATTTAACTTTCGAAGTACCGGCAATACTTACGGGAGTTGGTGTTTGCAATCTCATTGATTTCATTTGGATCCAACCACACCTTTTTTTTACCACATCGCATAACAGAGGCTGCTAGCCTCTTCTGTAGCTTTAGAGAACTGAAAAATAAAATATTTCGTTGACCACATGGCGTACAATATTAGGTTGTGTTGACACTCCATGACTGATAATAAGTAGTCACACTTTTGAATAATATTTATATTTTAAATTTGTAATAGAGATGAAAAGGTTATAGTTTTCAATGAATGGGACACATTATATGTGCTAAAAGTTTTAATAAATTAAAACTAACCTCATCTTGAAACGGTGAGTTCCACAACGCACACAGGAAAGAAATATGGCGGGCCTTAGAGTTGAAGTGTTGCACTTTCATAGAGTAAAATAATACAATTTAGCAGATTAGTTTTGTCAAAATTAAACCAAACGTTAACGTTTTGCAAAATATGCTCTAATTCTTGTATATGTTAGTAAATGAAATAGTTTGTTGTATTGTATAATAGATTAGGTTTTCGTAGATTATAAGTAATTGATAAATCGATTGAAACCCACAAGGTATGGTGTATTCTTTGGGTTTTCCATTACATCATTTCCTATTTAAATTTAAATGACGAATTTCAATGAAGTGAAGTGTAGTGAATCTAAAGAAATGAACATTTTCCAAATAATATATGACAAAGAGTATATAAAATATATGACCTCAAGGTCTATGTTACCAGGTCATAAAATAAAAAAAAACATTTCCATTTCAGCGGGCGTGTCATTTTTGACAGGTTGACGATTGACAGAAAATGACAGCTGTTTTACGTGATTACAGCTTCATATAAATAATAAAAAATTATTGGGCAATAATAAATAATGAGGTTACGAGTTGGTTACGAGTTGCGTGCACTGGTCACTTGTGAGCATTGTGACGAGGTGGCGTAGCGCGGGCTTTGACTTCATAATCGTAAAAAATTACCACATAGAAAGAATTTCGATAATTTTCTTATTGATATAGCTTCGATTGTCTGTTCATTTATATTTTATGTTACGTTCTTCAGTGTCGCGTATCTCATAATGTCGGTGTCAGTGAAAGTGAATCCAGATTTACAGAAAGAAAGGGACAATTGTACATTTAACGTTACAGAACTTACAAACCTCATAGATGGAGGCCCGCAAAAAACTGAAGAAAGAAAGAAACGAGGTGATTAAAACAAACAACAATTTCTTTAATTTATTTTCTTATTAGAAAATTTACTCATACCAGAAATATACTTTAAATTTTTCTATAAAGTGAATATAATTACGTTTTAAAGCACGCAATCATCTGTAATGCCTCACAAATCAGATGTTTTTACTAGAACAAAGAGAAATATTAATCTTGTTTGTAGATACAGTTCATAGGTCAATAATTTTATCTTAAGGACCTGAATCATATATGTTTATTATGATAAACACAAAAACTAAATGCTAAACAGGGAGAAAAGATTTAAATTTCTATTTTATTAAGTATATTTATGTATGGAAAGAATTAAAAATGAATAATAAGAATTTCATATAGTAAAATAAATGTGTGAGTAGCTATCAAAATGCTAATTTTAAACTTTGTGATGGCAGTCATATGACTGTTTGTATAAGCAATGTAAAATAATAGACATTAAATATGTAATTAACTTAAATCCCACATACATAATTACAAGTTTAAATAATTTAATCTGAATAATTCAAACATCTATATAAAAACTCCACAATAATTAGAGCCTATAAGTTTTTATATCTATTAATACTAGTTATGTGTATAGTTTTCAGCATATTTTTACATAATATTAACTTACAAACTTTCTTACAAATCTTTATAACTAGATAACTTTAAATATATCCCTTTTTTTGTAACAGAACAACTAAATTCTGTAATTATAAAAAAATCACCTATGCAACTAAGACACCTATGTATATCCAGTTAATATTTCACTACAGAGGAGATGGTGTTCAAAGAAGGAATACATATTGATGAAGTGCCATCAGACTATCTTAGCCACAAGGAAAAATATGAACTGGCCGTTAAGAAAGCATGCATGCTGTTCAAAATGATGCGTAGACTTCAAGAAGAAGAAAATGCTGGTATGGAGAATTATATGTGAGTATACACTTAATAGAATGTAAGAATAATAAATGTACATTGTTTCAAATCAAAATCTAAACTTTGTTAACAAAGTGAAACAAATATGAAAATTAACTTGTATAATTTGACTTATTTTTGATTAAGAAATTTATTGACTTCTATTGTACAAATCACTTCTGGATTTGGATATTCTGTATAGGGTAGTTTTAATTTGACTTTTTATTTTTTAATAACATACTATAAATATTACAAAAATTTTACTTCATTTTGATATTAAGTGACATTTACAAATTACATATCTTTATTTGGTACAGCATATATTTTGTCTTCATTCTGTATACGTCAAATCTTCGGACAGGGCACTTTTGGGCGGGAACCTAGGGTCCGCCATCTTGGGCGACGGTTCGCCACTAACGCTACACTATGTGATGTTCATACCCACACTAATGGGACAGGCGACGGTTGAACAGCAAGCGTACTGGATCGGCAGAGCCTTCAATCTCAGCATCATTGGCACATATGCACAGGTTTGTTTAAATAACACGATCCCGCCCGTAATGCAAAAGTGGAGGGGGGAATTTTTGAATTCAGGCAAAGACGAACATACTTTAGTTTCCTTTCATGATTAGATAGATAGCAAAAACTCGTATAATTTATTAGTTATAGTATTTTTCGGTAGCTACGAAATTAATAAAAGTACCTACCAAATTATAACCTCACCTTTGTACATTTTCAAAAGTGCAAAACCAACAAACTCATTATAACTTATATTTATGAATAAAAAGACAAGCATATAACTTTAACTTTGACCAAGAATCTATTTTTGTCCGTAAATTTTTATGTTTAGACGGAGTTAGGTCACGGCACGTTCATCCGCGGTCTGGAGACGACAGCGACGTACGACGCGGCCACCAAGCAGTTCGTGCTGCACAGCCCCACGCTTACCGCATACAAGTGGTGGCCCGGAGGACGTTAGTATATCATTATGCTTTAAAAAGTCATCAAGTCGCTAGTTTGACCTTGGAGTCAGCATCTTACAACACATTTGGTTTCAACACGTCCTAAGAATTCAGCCATAGAAGTTACAGCAAATATAATTCTTGTCTATGATCTTTGTCCATAGAATCTAAATACAGAACTATAAAAAAATTGCATCTTACTATGCAGGGTTTTAACGTTAAAATCGATCAAAAAATAATACTAAATGTTATGTGTATCGTAGTAACAACAAAGACAATCGTCAAGAGCTCAGACATGTTAATTTTGAATTTAAATTAGTATGTAAAATCTATTTAACATTAGTATGAGATACCTACATGCTAAATGTTTACATTTTCATACATCTATTCATATTTAAATGCAAGTTCCCATCGTCGAAAACACGCTTTTCCAAACAAAAAAAATCAAATTATAAAATTTGAACTTGAATTAACTTGCAGTAAATATAATACAAAAAAACAATATACATATAACCAATGCAATACATTAATTTTATATATTCTTTGAAAAGTGGTTTTCCCACAAAATAAGGTCTTAAAACTAAAAAAAATCTCCAACCAACAAAATATTATTGTTATTGTTTTATTGGGATGACGTTTTTTTTACATGATTTTCGACAATGGAAACTCACAGTTGAATGACAGTGTAAGGTTGTCGTTTATTTAGCACGTTCAGTGCTACCGACTCGCATTTCGACTTCACTTTACCAGGAAAATAATTTGTGACGCTGGAAGTGTTATAAAACCGGCTTTAATCCCACGACTGTTACATAAAAAAAAAATATCGAGTCAACATAACCATTAACTTTTTTGTATTATTTATAAAATTCGAAATATCTGGCTGGATGTTTTTAAAATATATTCGTAACCATTATAAAAATGTGTTACCTCTCAGATAATAAAGTGGAAAAAACCATATTGAATCGAAACCTTGTATATCGAACTTTGAACAGTAATGCGTAAAACTAAACACGTTTTGTTGTAAGATAGTTTTCTGTATTTTAAATCATATTACTATGGGATTCTAAAGACACGTAGAGAAACATATACTCATCCCTGTCATTCTGTTAGAAAAAGATGAGACAACAATATTTGTGTCTGATATGGAAAATCACGATTATTTTTATCGATTCTTTTAGTACATAATTTTAAAAATAATTAATATCTAGAGAATCTACCTTCATGTTATCGGAATGATAACTGAATGCAATGAATATTTGTTTTGATTGAGTAAACAATTATTTTGAAATTCAATGATTAGTTCAATGACATGAGATGCTTTCTAGATGTTTCTATAGTTCTATACATAGCTAAGCGTTATTACGATCTTGACCAACGGTACACGTATACAATGAAGTTTTCGTCATCATTTTAATAGGATGTTAGAAATAAATTATTTTAGCTTTTTATGATTCTTTATTACGTATAATAAAGCTATAGGTAAACCGCACGAAAGGATATGACTTTTTGTAATCAAAATGTAAAGGTGGAATGATAGAAAAATATAATTTACGTTTTAAATAATACTTACAAAATTATGATATGTAATGTTTAATTACAATAAGAATTTTATGAAAAATAATCAATTGAACCTGGATTAGCAAGAAGTCTATAAACAACCGTCATTGTCTCGACGAACGACCTCCATAAGCGAGAAACTCAGGTTAGATAGAAACCTTTATAAGCGAGAAAATATCACATTCCGTTCGATTCTCGCTTATTCAGATTCGATTATCGTGTATAGATTTAACCGTTTTTTCCGTGACCAAGGAAGAAAGGTGCTCGAAAATTTTATAGTAGTTTGAATACTAACTTTTATTTACTGCTACAATGTGTTGTTAACAGTGGCGCACACAGCCAACTACTGTGTGGTGATGGCACAGTTGTATACACAAGGGAAGTGTCACGGCATACATCCGTTCATCGTGCAGCTTAGAGACGAGGAAACGCACATGCCACTGCCCGGCATCAAGGTCGGCGAGATTGGCGCCAAGTTGGGCATGAACGGCACAAACAATGGCTTCCTAGGCTTCGACAATGTTAGAATACCAAGAGAACACATGCTCATGAAGAATTCTAAAGTATTGGAGGTCAGTTATCTTACTAATATTATAAAAGCAAATGTTTAGATTATTGAGTCAAGTCATATGTAAAATATCTATAGATTTGTAGAGTCGTGCATCGATAACCCAGTTTATTAACCCTGTAACCTTTTATCGATTATTCAACTTAAATGATCTAGTTCAAAATCCACCAGCTACGATAAATGTATCTTAATGTTTCCTATATTTTTCCTATATGTGTATCGTATATTTACATAACTCTATATGTTTTGTAAATTATCGCATAGGTACTGCAGACCTCAATTCAAACAATAATTCGTATAATCTTTGTTCCCCCACTTCCTTTGTTAATCTATCAACTATCAATATCTAACATTTACATACCAATTATCCATTAACAAGTGTAGGTAGGGCCCGCGTAAGGGTAGGCCACCGCCCAGGGCAGTGCACTGAAATGGGCGCTACAGGTTTCTCTCTGTAATACTGAGTATTTTTACATAGCCCTGTTAACCCTAAAGGCATGGTAAAAAAAGAGGGTGCCGTAGATATCTCGCACTGGGCGTCAGTAGATCTTTATTGAACATAGGAAATCAAAGTCATGTGATATTGTTCGAAACATAATTTATTTATTTTATGCATTGATATCCGGGCGATAAAGATAAGGAATGTACCGAGGTTGGATTTGATGATAAAACCCATATAATACCTCGTACTAATTAATACAGTACATCCAAACTGCTGCCCTTTAATAAGATAAAATATTTCGATTAGAAATTTCGAAATAAATATATCAACACGTATAACATGCAACGCTTCTTCACTTCGTCTCTTCGTTTCTTGTTAACACAAACGAACAATGCCAATATTTTACTGGAGGCGTTCCCCGACAGGACGGTACATATGTGAACGCGCCGAGCTCCAAGCTGACGTACGGCACTATGATGTTCGTACGCGTCATGCTGGTGCACGATGTATGCAACTACATGGCCAAGGCCGTCACCATCGCAACCAGATACTCCGCCGTCAGACGCCAGTCACAGCTCAGGCCTAAGTAAGATACCAATGCACATACATACAACATATATAGAGACTTCTTTCAATCTAATGTCGAGTCCCCAATGTGCCTTGTGCGCAACTCACAACCTACATAGTGTTAGAGCACAATTTTTTTCCATGATACTTCTTCGATCAAGTAATGGAGAGGTAACAGAACTCGACAGATCGATGCGCGTAAATCTGTATTTGTAAGCTCGGATGAATATCTGTCCAATAAAAAAGGAACGTTCTCTTTAGTTCATCAATTCGTCGTTCACCAAATTTTACGATGCGGTTACACGTTCCACGACACGTTAATACTATTTTAGTTTAGTTTTTACAATTAGCGATATATGAGGCCTGCTAAGGAAAGATACTGTTTGTGATGTGCCCAGTGAGCCGGAGCCTCAGATCCTAGAGTACGTGACGCAGCAGCACAAGCTGCTGATCGGCATCTCGAGCGTGCACGCGTTCCGTCTCTGCGCCGCCTGGCTCTGGGACATGTACAACAACGTCACAGCAGAGCTCGAGACCGGCGACCTGGAGAGGCTGCCTGAAGTTTGTATATTATTATTTTTTTAATCTGTATAATGTCATTCGAATCTGTTTTTTCCCAAAATGTTTTAGATCATCATGTTTTTTTTAATTAATTCTTAGCATTTGCATCGATCATAATCGTAATCTGCAAGTCCTGGGTTCGAATCCCGGTTACCAGTGTGTTTTTCAATTCACATAGGTATTTATCCGATGTTCTTAAGAAAGACATCGTGATGCAACCTGCACATATCTGAGAAAAAAATCAAAGATATTTGTGAAGTCAACGGCTTCAAGTTCCTCAGTTGCAGAGCTGATGATGATGATGATGTTTTGTGTGTTGCATATAGTTGCATGCGTTATCGTGTTGCTTGAAAGCGATAACGACAAGCGACGCTGCGGCGTGCGTGGAGCGCTGCCGGCTCTCGTGCGGCGGACACGGGTACATGCTCTCCTCCAACCTGCCGCTCACGTACGGCCTGGTCACCGCCGCCTGCACCTACGAGGGGGAGAACACCGTCATGTTGCTGCAGACTGCTAGGTCAGCTTCATTTCCTCAATACAATCACCACTCTGTCTAAATAATTAAAAAAGCCTTCGAAAAGTAAAAATTTCGACTCGTAAAAATGTGACCCTATAAAATAAATGGGAATGTATTTATAATACATATACACTTTTTATACGGTTTATTAATATTATTGAATAAAAGTTAATTTATAGCTACTGTTGAGCGAGACACACTATAGCACTTATCGTGCAAGAAAGTGAACAAAATAAAGTTGCCACATTTATATTTGGCCATAGATACAAAAAGTATTTTTTCTAATAATGAACAGGTTGGTTTAGTGCAGGTTTATTGAATAAATTAAAGTGAATAATCATGTCTACATTACTATCGTCATGGTATATTATATAATTCTGCGACCGTTTCTTATAAGGAAAGGATGGAAATGTTATAAAAAAAAGGCTCGTTCTTCTTGCCGATTAAAGGTATACAACCCATCTGCAATTTCGTATGCTCATAAGAAGCGGTGTTTATTTCGGCGAATTCCGATGGCCTTATAATATAAGAAATGTATTATCTGTATGTATATTGTATTTTTTTATAAAATAGCAGATTTTTTTGTAAATTTACTAATATTTCTTTTATCATTCCATCTAAGCTCTAGGCTTGTGCTAGGATATGGTTTACGACAATAGTCGAATGGCGGGATTCGAACTCCCGACCTTGTGATCGGAAATCCGTATCCTTAACCATTAGGCTATTGACGCTTTTTAATTGTATACGTCAGATACTTGGTGAAGGCGTGGCGCACCGCGGCGCACGCGCTGCCGCCCACCGTCTCGTACGTGGGGCTCGCGCGCACCGGCCGCCGCTCCCCGCCCTGGGACAACTCCCTGCAGGGCATCATCAGCGGCTTCCACACACTCGCCGCTGGGTAAATCATACACTCACACGCACACACACACCACTTCTAAGGCTGACATTTATAAACGATACTCTGAATTTGCTTAGACTTACCTTACGCCAGTCTTATCTCAGCTTTTGCTCAGACTTATCTCTAAATCGAATTTATAGTCGTTATGGTTTAAGCATGTGCTGAGCCAGAGCTAAGACAAATTTTGACACTATTTCTATTCACATAATATATTTTTGGTTATTCAAAAATAAATATTGATATTTACAAAATTAATATTTATGATACACGATTCCTATATCTTTAAACTTATTCATTTAATCAAATAGTTGTGTTTAATTTTTAATTTACTATCTATTTTATGAGAAAAACGACGAAATTGACGCTTGTTTGGGTAAGCAATCGATAGAACGTGACAAGATTATTTGACTTGACAAAGTAAATGACAACGTGAAAACCTATTTCATTTTATCGTTGGTGATATTACGTGGAATTCTTTAATTATCCGATTTTTTGTTCACCTTGCGGTTTTCTGACGTACGACGCATTTCTTTAAAAATGTTCATGGATAACATCGAAAGAATTGACAGAATATTGTCTATGATCGACAACATTGACATGCTTGGAACATCGGCTTTGAATAATATTGTCCCACGCATGCCAAAGTATGTGTACGAAACAGTTATAATCATGATCCATACGTGTTAAGCGATACACAATTTAAACAATGGTATCGTTTCACAAAAATCATTGTTAAATATGTGATTCTACCTCTGATTCGTGACAAATGAAGCCACAATAATAATAGAGGATTACCCATATCACCAGAAATACAAATACTGATTGCATTGAGGTTTTATGCCACTGGAAGCTTTCAGGTACACTATATTATACATTTTTACAATAACATTTTGTGATCTGTGTTGTTGTGAACCATATACACGTATAATCCTAAAGAAATAAATAGTTATTGTGAGATAGTTATATATATTAACGTCATGGAACCTTACCTATGTCAACTCAACGTTAATGAGCGAGACCCCTGTACAAAATATGTTTGTTTGATGTTCATCAATTCTGTATAAATTTTCTCCTTTCTGTTGTAGACTGTTTGTGGTGATTATAAACAAAATTTCGTAAGAATTAAGTCAACTTTTACCTCAATCTATACAATTCCCGGCCGATCTGCATACTGTAAAACGTAAATTCGAGGAATTGGGTAGGGCTTACGACCTTCATGGCACACATGTCAAAATTATTAGACCAAGAGGTATTGCTCACTCAGAAGCGTACAGAAACAGAAAAAGTTCAGACAATTGTAGGCCTGATTTTTAAATTTATGACCTGGTTGCAAGGTGGCCTGGACGTTCACATAATTCTGGATGTAAGACATAAGCCATTTTACTTTAACTTTTTTTTAATTTCCGCGCGGACGTATTCGCAGGTAGAAGATAGTATTTATTTATTTTCTTTTTTAATAGGAAAATAGGTCTTTGCGTGTCGCAGATTGAGAAACGTCAGGCGAGCGGCATGTCGTACGAAGACGCCTGGAATATGACCTCTGTGCAGCTCACGGCCGCTTCCGAGGTGACTTACTCTGTTTCATTAAAAATTACATTTTTAAAGTGTATTTCACACTTAGAAAAACAACAAAAAAGCCTCACTACATTAACAAAGTGGAAGGTGACAGTTGTATTTATTACTGTAAAGTTTCCATTGTCCAAAACTTGTTTAAAAACATTAACAGTTCCGGCAAAGAAATTTTAAGGTTAATCAACAGTTGACATGTGAGTGTTGCCAGTACAAAATGAAGTCATAGAGTATAAAGTGTGTGTTGTCAGGCGCACTGCCGCGCCATCATCCTGTCCAGCTACTACACGGAGACTGAGAAGATGTCGCGGGGAGTGTCCGCGCCGCTGCGTCTCGTGCTCACTCAGCTCGTTGAACTGTACGTAGTCTACTGGGCGTTGCAATGTCTCGGAGATTTGCTCAGGGTTAGTTTGGTTTTTTTTTATCTTCAGAGAAGACCTTCTGCTTATATTGGAATAAGCTCATCTAACACTATTGTCCTTGCTTGATTAATGATTGCCTAAAGTTAAATTAATTTTAAAGACTAGTTAATTCAATTTTAACACAATAAATACACATCTATCTAAAACATCCGGCCGGTTTCTATTTCATTTACTGTCGTTAAATGTTTTTAAACTGTTAGTGCTATAAAGGATTCTTTTTTTTTCAGTTTACATCGATATCTGAACGTAATATCGAAGAATTACAAAACTGGTACGAAGATTTGTTGGTGAAACTCCGACCTAATGCTGTAGGCTTAGTGGACGCCTTTGATATCAGAGATGAGGTAAGATAAAAAACTCGTCAGAACAACATAATTTGGAAATGAGAGAATAGCCAGTAATTACATAGTAATTAAATGTTGCCAATACAGCAATCTTCATTTTCCTCTTCATATTTAATTTGTTTATGCACTTTTTATATAACCCTGATGTCAAACATTCGCTCATACAGATTCTCCGTTCCGCTCTCGGTGCCTACGACGGTCGCGCGTATGAGAGACTGATGGAGGAGGCTATGAAGAGTCCACTTAACAAGGAGCCAGTTAACGAAAGCTTTCATAAATATCTTAAACCATTTATGCAAGGAAAACTATAGACAACGTATATTGATTTTAGTGTAGCCATTTTTTTCAATAGGTTTGCAATAATTAATCAACATTGAATTCAATCAGTCTCATTTGACTTCAGACCTGTATGATTTTTATGAGAGACAATAAATAAAAATAGGTTTATAAAATGTAGCTACTTATTATAGTAAGAAATGATATCATGTTCATGTCATTATATTGTGTATATTTTACTGTCTTTAATAAGTAAAATGTTATTGTAAATAACAAAAAATGTGAATGAATGTATATTGAAATAAAATTACATTTTATGCTTTATGGTGATGGATACCGATACATTCCTTTATGAAATTTTATGAGATTTTATAATATATTTTTGTATTTGTTTTGTTAATGAAGTTTTATTTTTTTAAAATCTGCCAAAAAGATAATATCAAATTATTTATTCGTTTACGTGATTAATTGTTTCAAAAAAGTGCTTCAAACGCCGCGGGGGAAAGATGTAAAGATTTATATAAAGCAAGCTACCTGCAATCAAACTGCGTGAGCAATTTTGCGGAGCATGGTTTAAATGAAAGTAACTTTTTATGAATAAATATATTATATAAAAAATGTATTTAAATAAGTGTGTCACAACTTTCCCGTAAAATAGGCAGTCATATGAATTCTATGTATCATAGTTTCAACATTTATTCCAATTCTAATAACTAAGAAAGAAATTTCTTCAATATTGATTTTATGCCATTGAAGTTATATACTCTTTGCATAAGACAGTAGCAACTGGTAGCAACACAGACACGTGAACTACTGACACTGACAGGCGACAGTGACAGCTGCAAGCCCTAAGCCAAAGCAGAGGCAGCGGATATAAATACAAATATTTGTGTTGCAAAATGAAGTTATAATACATAAAAATAATTAAAACTTGATTTAAGAGAAACGCCAGTATGACGTATCTTGATAAAATATGCCGTGCATGTCTGAATGTCAAAGAATCTTTCAAATATGTTCTATTTGATAATGTTTCACCAGAATTGTATTCATTTTGTACATCAGTTGAAGTAAGAATTGTTGTACATTTTATATAATAGTAACATGCTTACAGTTTGTAATTAGTATACTGCAGTAAAGTCAAATTATACACACCAAATCACTTAAAATGTTTAAACTATTTTAAAAAATAGTTTTTTTTTATAGGTGTACCAAAATGAAAATTTACCTAAGACAATATGCGACAGCTGCTACGATATTCTTACAAAATTTTTCAATTTTAAACAAACATGCATCAAATCCCAAAATACTTTACTTGAATGTAAAAACAATGTGAAAACAGAAAATGTAACAGATCTTCGTGATGTTGATATAGGGATACAGGAAAATGATGATCATGACTATGAAAGTGGATTTGAACCGGAGGCCATTAAGATGGAACAAAATGTAGACAAACTTATAGATGGTAGTATTTTTTTTCTTAAAGCAAACAATGGTTTAGTTTAATAACTTAATTTAAACCTAGAAAGCCAAGTGACTACAATATAATACAAATTAAGTTAAATATCACTTGTTGATTAAGTCATTTTTGCTACAATTAACAAAAGAATGGACAAACTGACAAAACTGGTTACATAAAGACATAGTTATTTATTTGCCAAAAACAATATGTGTACTAATCTAAGTCTAATTATGGACTAAAGCAATTTAAGTCATATACATATGTTTCTGCAAAAATAATTTGTTCAATCATGTAATATTATTAAAATTGATTTTTTCTTTTCCAGATGATTACAATGATATTAGGACTGATAATGCTATTACAGACAATGACTCATCTAGTTGTAATAGAAAAAAAAAGAAGAAAGGTTCTAAAAAGTAAATCTTTATATATATAATTCTTCTGTGAGTGTGTATGTCACTGAACTTCTCTCAAACGACTGGACCGATTTTGATGAAATTTTTTGTGTGTGTTCGAGGGGATCTGGGAATGGTTTAGATTCACAATTTTGTCCGCTGGACAATTTTTTTTTAATTAATTTTTAATTTATTAGTAGTTGTTGACTTTGGAATGTTTTACATTGGATCCGACAGACGGCGCTACCATCATTAATTCAAATTAAAGACGTGTAGACAGGACAACGTCTGTCGGGTCCGCTAGTATCCTAATATAAAATATTACATTATAAACAAAATAATCTGCTGATGTATATATATTTTACGTTTACAGACTACAAGAAATGTCATCGAAACATTTGATTGAAAATTCTGTGTCAAAAATAAATTTAACATGTAAAGGAAAAAGAAGGAAGCTAATTTTGATCTGTAAAATTTGCAAAAGAAGCTACAGTTTACCAGAACGATATGAAGCACACAAATTGGAACATGAGGGTAAAAAAGTAAGTTACTAACAACTTATTATTACCCGATTAACAAGAAAGTAATTTTCTTAACAAAATGGGATAGCATTTCAAACAAAACTATCAGTGATGCATATTTTAAGGAATATGGTTTGGTTCGTAATATCCTGTACTTAGTATTTAAGAAATTTTACTTAATTTAAGGAATCACACAGGATTCACAAAGGGCCTAATCGGCTTAACCAGTTTTAACAGGTGTCATTTGATTTGCCTTCTTGCTGGAGTTTCATTGGACTGTTGTGTGTGTTTGTTTTTAAATAACAAATTGTGTTAATATATTTTAGGTAACAATACGTTGTCCTGTATGTGACAAGATATTTGTAACATGGAGTGGTCTGTTTAGGCACAAGGCGAGGCACACACATCTCGAACGTTTCAAATGTCGCACGTGTGGCAAAGAATTTAAGACCAGAAACACACTTCGCATGCATCGCGACACGCATAAAGAACGAAAGTTCTGTATATGTGATGTTTGCGGAAAGAATTTCCTTTCACTCAGTAGTTTAAAGGTAATATAGTCTGACCTGCAGTATAAAAACCCTCTCCCGTATTTTTCATATTCGTAATTTCTTTACATACAATAGAAAGTTAGTAAATACCTTATTCTTGGTTGTGTCAACTGTTATTGAAACTATGTTGCCGTCTTTAATTACTTATATTTTATTTACAGAATCATTTAGAAATTCATAACGAAAGTAGAGAAAAAAAATATGAATGTGGTGAATGCGGAAAGAAATTTTATGCAAACCCAAATTTAAGAAGTCACATATCGAAACACCACAGAGAGAGAAAAAAATTTATATGTCAAATATGTTCATTTCCATTTACAGATAAATATTGTTTAATAAAACATTTGCGCTTACATGAAGGTTTGAAGTTATTCAAATGTGATATATGTGAGAAATCCTATGCAAGAAAAATAGCTTTAATAGAACACAAAAGAGTACATTCCGGAGAGAGACCATTTACATGTACAGACTGTCCGAAGAGTTTCCCAACTAAGCAAAGACTAAATGAACATTATAGAACACATACAGGTGAAAAACCACATAAATGTGTAGTGTGTAATCAGAGCTTTTCACAACGAGGTACAATGAAGAGGCATATGAAGGTACATGATAAATTGCCTACTACCCACATTTAATTGATGGGTAGTTATAAAAAAAACCGAAGTGGTACAAGCAATGATTACCATCAAATATGCCAAAGAATACCGCGTCACACTGCACATTCAGAAAGATTGAAATAAAACAAATGTTTTTAATTAATCGATTACCCTTTTTTATTACTAAAACTTAAAGCTGATTCCTAACACTTTGATATCACGATTCATAAAAAATTGACTGATTTTATTTCTACGCGTTACACGCTTTATATTATTTGATATAAAGTTTTGTGAGTTGTACAGACTGGCTGGAATAATAATTTTCTTTTTATATTTTCTTTGCTACACCTTTCAATAAGTGAGGTTAGAAAAAATGTACTCAGATCATCTTAGTTTTGTACTTATTTCTCATCTGACTAAAATTAAATCATAAACCTTCCAGAATTAAGTTACAATATGATCCAGACTGAAAAATACACTACAATCCTTATTAACATAATACTGCAAATTCGTTGCACTGATAATGATTATTAGTAGCTACCTCCACTTTGTATTTAACAAAGTTCTCATAATTCTTGATTTTATTTAAAAATGTTCCCAAAGTTTTTAATTCACATTAAAATCTTTAATTTCATAGTATCAAGCTTCCCCATTCCATTTTCTATATGAGAGTGTTTTTGGCCCGTTAATCAATAATTGCATTTGAGTCTCTGGCATAACATTTTGTGTGTCAGTGCTCTTTCCGTGACCCTTCATGTGCCTGTTCAATGCACATTTCTGTATAAACGCCTGGTTGCATAGCTGACACTTGTGCGGTTTCTCTCCGGTATGGATCATCCTATGATTCCTTAGGTCTTTACGCGCCATAAACTTCTTTGGGCAGAGATCGCAAGCGTAGGGACGCTCGCCTGAAAACAATAAAAGCATTTAAAGTTTCAAATTTCATGTATTTTTTAACTACTGGGTTAATTTTTAAAAAATCTTTTATAAAATAAGAAATGTTGTAAAACTTGTCAAAGCGTCCTTACCAGTATGAGTTCGCATATGAATTGCTTGAAAACTTCTACTTTTAAATGTTTTATCACATAGTTGACAGGAGAACGGTTTGTCTGCTGAGTGGGACCGCATGTGCTTCACTAGATCCGCCTGTAAGAGAAATAGTTAAACAATAGAATAATTATTTTAAGTTACATTTTTCATAAGCAAAACTATTGAAACATATATGTATATCTAAATATAACATTACAATTTTTATATTAAAGAAGACACTTCTTGGTATTCGATAAATCAAATATCATGGTGGCTCGAAAGTTTGTCCGAGTAAGATTTTTAGGTGTAGCGGTGTGGATTAAGGGATCCAAAAGGAGGTGCGCAGCTAATCTTGAGCTGACAAAATAAATAAATGGACAATATATATAATACCAAAGTCTAATGACCAAAATTCATAAATGATTATGGTACAACAAAGTAATGAATGAGTGAATGACCATATTGTTATTTATGCATAACAAGAAACATTATGTACCTTTATATAAAACCTCATATTGCACATATTACAGGCAAAGTTCTTGATACCAGTGTGCCTTATTAGATGTATCTTCAAATTGCCCGGTTGCGAGAATTTCTTACCGCACTGAGAACAACCGTAATTCTTCTCACTGCTATGCGTCTCTATGTGCATCTGAAATATTTTATTTGGATTATGAATATAAATTTTGAAGAAATGTTTGTATTCAATAATGACAGATTAAAAATGCAACATCCCCATTTCTTTCAGCAATAAGAAGTTGTAAAAAATGTTGCCAGTGAATATAGAAAATTAGTGTTATCATAACAAACCTTAAGATTATAAGCTTGTACAAACTTAGCGTCGCACAAATGACACATATGCCTCTTAATACCAGAGTGAATAAGCTCATGGTTCTTCAACACGCTGAGGTAGGCAAAACACTTATTGCATGTGCTACATTGATACTTGCGACCCGCGGTATGCACTCGTAAGTGACTATTCAGATTGCGAAGGTTCAGGAATGTCTTGTCACAGTATTGGCACTTGATATCAGGCTAGAAAATAAAAAAATTAACTCATAGTATAATATCTAAGCCATATAAATATTTTCTTATGCATTAGATCTATAAATCAAAAATTTAGGATAAGTTCCATAGTAGCTCTTCACATTAGATGAGGGGTGTAATGGATTAGAGGATGGTGAACAATTTATACTTTGAAATAAGATGGATAAAATTGTAGAACTTTCTATTGAATATTCAGTAGTGTTTGCGTAAGTTGGCCTTACTTTTTTTCCAAAATGACTTCGCATGTGTGCTTCAAAATTCTCATATTTCTGAAAATTTTTCCCACATTTCATGCACTTCATTCGTTCTTTTCCTGTAAGTGTTTTCTCTGTGTACTGTCTTAGGGTTCGTCGTCTTCGTCTAGAATACATCCAAACACATAGTATTAGTATGATTTATCATATACAGTTCAACTTAGATAAGCAAGTCATTGAATTAAAGAGAAAACTTTACAAGTGAGAAAAATATTGAGGTCCCTTGGACTTTAACTTATCCAGGTTTAACTGCATTTTTTCAATCAAACATTACATGCATGGAGGAATGCCAAATTCTATATAATAATAACAATTATACTATTACAATTTTTCAGTTATTTTGGGAAAATTGCAAAAAAAAACTGATAGCTAAAGTTCATAATATGTAAAAGTGTGTTTGTATTTCCGAAAACATTTTGAAATCTGCAAGCTTATACATATATTATCATGTTTACAATACCTAACTTTTGGTTGTTCTGGTTCAATATTCATGTTTTCATGATTTTGTGCATCATTAAGTTCTATTACAGTAACTTCTAATAAGTCATTTCTTTCACTGTTGTACTGATCGGGTCTTACATCCTGAAAAGCAAAAATCTAATTAAAAACTCTTTTGTAGGCAATTGATATGTTTTATGTATATGTATTTAAATGGAAACTTGGAAATGGAGACTTTTCTTATTTTATACCTCGGTAGTTTTTCCATAATATTGTTGTTTCAATATAGTATTTGAACGTATAACACCTTGCTTGAAGTAATAAAACTTGTTTAGCAAATCTAAGCATGTTTGGCAAATTAACTGTGGGAGATAGTCATTCTTGGATATCTGAAAAATACATGAAATTAAATGAATTGATGATGAAAACCAGTCTAAATCAAAAACATTAAGAGTAAAATAAAGTTAGTAATTTAATCTCAGTATTGTTAATTGCAGTAATTTAGAAAATGTTTGTTTCCGTACCTCAACGGATGTACAGTACTTAAACACTTCAGCGGTACAGACGATGAATAATTCCTTTAAAGGACCAGTATCAGATAAACATGCACGACAAATTTTACTAAAATCCAATTCAGTTTCCATTGTTTATAAGCACTTAATTAAATAAGGAAGATTATGTAATTTGAAATCAGTATTTATCCAGCATAAATTGTTAAACATAATAATAAATTTGTTATTGTAAATACATGGTAATAAAGTAGTAAATAAGAAAAATGATAACAAAATGTCAACTAACTTGACATTTGACAATAAATATGAATCACAGAGTATAAATATAGCAAGAAACGTGACATAATCCAGACTATTGTCTACCAAACAAAAGTGATAACAGCACCTTTGATGTCTCGACGAAGATTTAACTTTAATACTTTAATAGATACTAGAAATATTCAAAATTCTTTCGTATATTCTTCAACCTCGCAAACTACCTCTAATATTCCTCATCACGACATCCAACATTTCTAATTTTTTTTTAAATAGCCCCGTAACCCCGATCCAACCTGATGATATAGCCGAAAGATGATACACGCTTGTAAATGCCTATTCACCATACTGTGATCCATACAATGAAGGTACTTAGGTCATATGTGGGCGGAAAAACTGACGCTGGCAACTTGTTCCAATTCCTTGATGTACTCATGCGGTTCCCGGTTATGACAATATAGTACGGGGAGAACTGGCGATAACCCCAAATGAAATATACCAGTTAGCAAGATTAAAAAGCTGGTATCGAAATTATATTTATGTTTGTCTATTCTCACGTGAAAATAATAGGTTTTCACTTTCACTTCTTATGACGTTCGTGATTAAGTAAGCCTTAGGTAAAAGTAGGAATAATCAAAGTTGTGCTTTAGTAGAAATATTATATAATAAGTAACGTGCCTTTTACATCAACTAAGTATCATACTGTGAGGACATTGTGTCCTAACATAATAGTAAACCCTTCAGTCTTAGGTACTCAGGCACTTTATCTAATAGGTCAAGGATAAGTGGGCATTCTTAATTGTATAAGCGTAATGTCACATGTCCACCAGTGTGCAGACAAAGGGTGATGATGAATGACACACGCCCCGCGGGGTAGCGAGCGGCATTGTCAATGATAATCAAATACTATTTTATTGGATTGTGTACTGGCCGGGTCGGATTTCCGCCGAAGTACCGAATGGTCATGGAAACTTAGCCTTATAAGTTATTCATCCATCATCCTTCATATAGCGTGGACATGTAGGCAAAAACAAAAGCACAAATCGGTCTTTTTCTGAAGTTAACTTTTTATACGTTTAATTTATTAATTGACCTTACTCAATGGAATGCAATAGATACATCTGATCTAAGACTAACTTTAGCGCCGTGTTAGTTGCAGCGTCCTGTATACTTTCTCTTAAATTGTTTTGATAGTACTGGTTATCTATGTTTGATTGAAATTTGTTATCTTAAGTATTTTGTAATTTTAATCAACCACAGTATAGATTACTTTTGTACATAAGTTATATACACGTACTTGATAATGTTTAAAATCACAAACTGTCTTGTATTATGGTTTTCAAATATTTTGGCGGCGCCTTGTCGCCGGCGCGATGCGCTGTGCCCTCCCCCGCATCCCGCTACAAATGAAATTGTGTTCTGCGCAGCGACTCGCACGAAGTTAAGTCGCCAAGATATCTGAATAACATTATATTCACGATTACAAAAACACGATAGATTATACCATATCACTATCAGATAGGATATAATTACATCTAGTTAATATTAAAGTAATTTTTATAAAAATGAATACGGTGTTCGCCAAGTACATACCGAGCAAAGCAATACCATTTTAACATTAAAGTTAAAGTGCGGCTTGGGTCTGGTTATGAATCCTAAACCTGCTATTTCGCACTCATATTAACTGTATTTTAAATAGTTTAACCAATACACATATATGTGTTAGGTCCCGTTAAATTAAAACAAGTGTGTTTGTGATGCTGACTTGCTGACGTCACTCAGCGACGGCGCAAGACGCTTCGTACAATAGATGTTTCATCGCATAGTATTAGTTAGTTTAGGTTATGTTTACAATGTTCAGTACGTATGTTTCTCGCGTTTTAGTTATAAAATAACAATGTTTGTTCGTAAAATTTTATCAACATTTAAAGTGTAAAAGCCTGCGTGTTATTAAATAATGAAAAATACAATAACAATTCGACATATTCAGCCAATTTAACTCGCTAAGATTACACGTCGTCGGTCGCATAACATTAATGAATGAAATGAATTATATTGCTGAGTTCCAATACTGATAACGAGACATTTCAGTAACAAGTTTGCATTGATACAGTGCGGTATTGTGTGTTTTGTTTACTAATTTGTCATAAACATAACAATGGGCGACAACGTCAATAATGTGCCTATTTTAGACATTCCTTTTAATAAAAGAATATTAAAATTAAGTGAACAATTTTATAATGATTTTGGCTGCAAACCGAGTTATTACGTCCGAGTGCCGGGTCGTGTAAATATCATCGGAGAACATATTGATTACTGTGGATATCCGGTGTTGCCCATGGCTCTGGAACAGGATATATTGATGGCAGCTAATATTATAGACGAGGCAAAACTTTATTTACGGAACGCAGACAATAAATATAAAAGTGTTGATATAAAAATAAATACACAAGAAGTTGATATCACACCAGATTTAAATGGAAAACCTTATTGGTATAATTACATTTTATGTGGAATTAAAGGTGCGATGGAACACTTGAATAGTAACGAATGGAAAGGCCTTCAGCTGTATGTTGACGGTAATATTCCTCCCGCTTCAGGCTTGTCTAGTTCTTCGGCGCTTGTGAGTGCGGCATGTTTAGCGTTTCTGTATGCTCAAAATGGTACTCTGGATAAGACTGAAATTGCTTCATTGTGCGCCAAAAGTGAGCGGTACATTGGAACGCAAGGCGGAGGTATGGATCAAGCAATTGCATTTTTAGCAAAAAAATACAGCGCTCAATACATTACATTTCAACCATTAAACGCCGCACCAGTCGCATTACCAGAAGATGCTGCATTTGTTGTAGCTCATAGTTTAGCTGAAGCTAATAAAGCTGCTACTAATGATTTTAATAGAAGGGTAATAGAATGTAGATTAGCGGCTAAAATTATAGCCAAGTTATCTGGCTTAACCTGTGAAGGGAAAATTTTAACACTAAGTCAACTTCAAAGAAATCTGAATAATAATTTGGAAGAGATGATAGAACTAGTCTTAAAATATATACCTCAAGAAATATACACAAAAAAGGAGATATGTGACATTCTCAACATGAAGGAAGCAGAAATTGATCAAATATTTCTAACTAGTAATACGAAGCATTTAACTGAATTCAAACTTAAGCAAAGAGCTCTGCACGTTTACCAAGAAGCTCAGAGAGTTGAAGAATTCCGTAAAATTTGTTCACAATCAGAATTAAGCCACAATACCATGAACGGAGCAACGAATGGCTCGGGAAATGGATATCTCAATTCTAACAACACAGATTTATTGCTTGCACTTGGAAAACTAATGTCTGAAAGCCATGAAAGTTTAAAAACCTTGTATGAATGTTCTCATGAAAATTTAGATCATCTTGTTAATATATCTCAAAAATTCGATATTAATTCCCGACTTACAGGCGCAGGTTGGGGAGGCTGCATTGTTGCTCTGTGTCCAAAGGAAAAAGTCGAGCAGTATATAGAATTATTAAAAGACGAATTTTACGTAAAACATTGCAAATTGGATAAAAAGAGCGCGGATTCGTATGTTTTTGCAACAACTCCAAATCATGGAGCTTTGATATATAAAAATCTATAAGAAATTATCGTACGATGCATAAAAGTCACTTGTTCTTAAAATTATTACAATGAAGGCTACGATTTATATTTTTAGAATTATTAAAATAAATCTATACGTAAAGATTATTCAATAATTAGATAATATATAATGATTCAATATAATTTGTTAGCATATACGCCATTTACGCATTTATTTACTGATAAATAATCAATTTCATAAATGTATCCGATTACGAGATTAAAACGAAATATTTTTTAATTCATTTAGCAGTATTATTTTACTTTAAAACATCCAATCATTTAAAATTACCATAATCATAATAATTCCAAGGTAACTGTGATGTAAAATTCGAGATGATAGTTTCGATTTTGCATATTTGTGTCATAATTTCGTAATTCGTACAGGCAATAAAACTATCGATTAGACTAGTTTTTGTTAGTTACGAAACAAATGTTTTATTCCAATATTTTATGTAATTAATAATAAATTTATTCAAAAACAAAATCGTTTGTGTTCATTTTTTACCCATATATACCTATTAACCTATTAAACTTTTAGACCTTGCGAAAGTATAGCTATGTTTACATTTGTATGATAAGGTCAAACTTGATAGTGCGAAGAAATTGTCACATGTCGTGTAACGTGTAATATTTTTATTTATTTCATACTTTTCTACTCTTTTTCTTAAAACAGTTGATATTTGCTTAATCTAATTTTAGTTGGACCTGATAAATCGTAGGCATCACAACACATGTATGTACTTTCCTACATATAAATCACCATACAGCCATTTGCAGGAAAAACAGTACGTACTACTCCTGCATACCTCTTCACTTCCTTCAGACTCGCATCCTCTTGCACACTCTCCATCCATACTTTCTTAACGATAGACCCTTGTCAACAATTTGAAATATGACTTCATAAATTGATTTCGATTACTGGACCCGCACCATAAAATCCAGGTTATTTTCACCATATTCATAGTTCGTAACCAAATCCAAACATTACAAAATGTAAAAATAAGAGTCCAGCGATAAAGTCCTTATCGCATTTATATAGCAGGTACTTCAAAACTTATAACGCTCGATTACAAATGCGGTCATTGGATGTGTGAATTGTGAAACTGAAAGCGATACATGTGTAATATATTACAAACCTGTTAATTACCACTCTAAGGTATACCTTAGAGTGGTAATTAACAGGTTTGGCGGAATTTTCAAGTTCAGTGCCTGTCTCCTCCTGTAGCCTGTCTTTAAGTTAACATAAAGAGCTTGTCCATTGAATCATCTGATAAATGTTGACTATAAAGTTGATCTTGTTATGATGCTAAGAACCAAGATACACAGGTTTAGTTTCGCGGGATAAAAAAAAATTGTATTCGTGTTTCGACAGACCTACTACAAATGTGATTGTAGGGCTGTACGTTAGGTAGGGATGTTTACATTATAGTACAGTAGTATAATCTGTTAGTTAAGTTTGAATATTTTTTGTCTTTTCATCATAAAATTAGCGATCGATACTTGGATTGAAAGTTTCAGAACCAGGCCATGAAATTAAAAGAATTGGTTTTCAAGATGTCAATGTGTCAATGTCAAAGTCACTTTTGAGATTTTCAATTTTCCAATTTCAATGTGCAAAATCTGCCATTGTATTGTATACGTTTACGATTACGGTTTTCTTAAATAAAACAACCGTTTCCGACAAATGTTAGAGACCAACTTAGAATTATTATTTTCTTTGCACATCTTTTAAATTATTCTCTCTATTAAACCATATAAAATATTTGGGTAAGTTGTATGAAAAATCTAAATTTAAATATTTTAATACACGTACTCATAAACTTTCTTTTAACTATTTCTTAGCTTTCTGTGGATAAGCAGCAATGGCTTTATCAGAGGTATTATTGTTGGTTTTTGGAACATACGATGTTAGGCATGTTATAAATAAATTTGAGGTTATAGAATGTTGTTGGCATTTCAAAAAGCTTATTATTTTATTGTCTAAGTCTCTTATTGTAAATATTCATTGTTTTAAGTTATTTGTTATATTTCTTCTTCTTATAATGTCGTTATTCTCAACACATTTGTTGACCAACATTGCATCATCTTCACAATAAGCCTAACAAAGCATGATTTCGATCCATATGGACAATTTTAAGAAGTAAAATAATAAAAGGCAGCTCTGAGTCAGACTTAACCATGATATGTACATTAAATAACCTTAATTTTTTTTTCACCTCAAAAAATATATTTTAAATAACAATATTAATTTAATAAATACTTGATGATGAAAAATAACTACAAATATTTATTGTACCTTTGTAAAAGCTGTTTTCATATATCATTGAGATGTATTTTAATACATAATATTCCCATTACAGGACTTAGATATAAATGAAGATGGTGTAAAGTTGTCGACATCTCAAAAGAGAAGGTTACGACGTAAGAAACTTCGGGATGCTCGTAATGAACATTTAAAAAAAAGATATAATACCATACAAGTTCCACAACCATCTAATTTCGTTACCACATTGTCTGCAATACCACCAGAACTTCTGGAAGGAGCATTATCTAATGTCAGTCTGAATGGAATAGGCAATGTAAGCAGAGATCTTGCATACATTTGTCAAGTAGATAGTTTTATTGCTAATTTAGAAAGCGAAATGTCATCTAACGATATGAGTATGAAATCTAAAGAAGAAGTATTAGCTGCAAGAGAAGCAAAGAAATTGAGTAAACAAAAGGCAAAGAAAAAAGATGAAAATCAACAAAATATTAAAGTCACTGACAGTAAGCCAGCTAATGAAAAAGGTAAAGCAGAACCGGAAGGTGCTACAGATTTGTCTAAAAGCAAGCCTGAAACAAAATCTGTAAACAAAGATCAAAAAGTAAGTTCTGAAAAAACAATAACAAAAAAATTACCTAAAGGTAAAGATGAAGTTGACAGAGCTGTTAAAGAAGTAACCATCAGTTTAGAAAAAACAGAACTTAAAGCAAAAGATTCTTCAAAAGACAATGTTATTACAGAACCTGAGCTAAATGTTAAGAAAAATGAAACAGAAAATGTACAGACAAAAGAACAAATAAGAGCTGAAAGGGCTGCAAAAAAAGCCGCTAAACAAGCTAAAAAGAAAGGAGGAGATAATATTGAAAAGGATATTAATAAAAATTCTTTAGTATCTAATCAAGTACCTCTAGGTAATGAAATAACTAATGTCGGGGAACTAAATGCTGATCAAGAGAACAATTCAGATGGTTTAACAGTTGGAGAAGTTGTAAAAACATTAAAAGACATTGTAAATGTTGCTAAAGAATTTCAAGCTGTTACAGATAAAGTCAAAGCTATAGATTTAACTGGAAACAAGGTATTACTTCGTATTTTTTTATAAAATCTTATAATCAATATTCTCATGCCCCAATGTAACTAACATTACCATACTCTTCCAAAACAGGGTGACCAATTTTTATATACATATTCAGTAAGTCTGAGAATTGGCTACTATTTATTTTTTAATCCCGCGCCGACGAAGTCGTGGGCAACAGCTAGAAAACTATTGTGCAAGGAAGGTTCACTATTAAATCTCGGTCATAACCTTAATATAAGAAGTATTCATGAATAAATAGTTGTCAATATTGTTTTTAAATAGAATGAGGGATATATTTACATGCAGTAAATGTGTAAAGCTGCAATGAAATTTATATTCTTGTTAATTTAAGAGCAAAGCGGAGTTAAGAGCTGAAAGAAGAGCAAAGCAGGAGGCACAGAGAGCTGCCAAGCAAGCACAACAGAAGCCAGCAGAAAAGTCAGCTGACTCAGAGGAAAAGGAGGTCAAAAAACAGGTAAAATTGAAATAAAGAAAAAGAAATTGATACAAATATACTCATAACAAAAAAAATTGCAATATACGAGTAAGTCTATTGAATGTGCTACTACGCTAGGGTACGGATTTCCGATCACATGGTCGCGAGTTCAAATTCCGCCATTCGATTATTATCGTAAACTATATCCTAGCACAACGTTAGTTGGATAAGTACAAGAAATGTAAGAAAATTAATAATAAAAATCTGTAAATATTTCAAATAAAATAAAAAATATCCTTACAGAATGTTCCTGCAAAGCTGAAGACTGCTGAAAAGGCTAAAACAAAAACACAAATGATGCACAGAGCTAACTGGTTCCAACATTTGTATACTGAACATGATAAAGAGGCTTTAAAGAAAATTGCACTCAATTCCAAGTAAGGAAATATTACTAAGTTAATAAAATAAAAAAAAATCAGTGGTGATGTGAGCCGTTCTTTAATTTTCATTTAACAGTGGTAGAGCCCGCTTTAACATCTTCGCACAACTTAGCCCTTTGAAATACCACGACCACACAGAAGACAGGCGTCAAGTGGAAGCAATTCCGCGTACAGTCTGATGAGTGTGTGTCCCGGAGGCCTTATTCAGTCCTCTTTCCCTTCGCACCCTTTTTCTTATAAGGAAAGGATGGGAAGTGGAAGTGGACTTTCCGGATGAGACGATGCATGGAAAGGGAAAATATTTTTTTTTCCGTGCATCCTCTCCTCCGTCGATTAAAGGTAGGCAACGCATATGCAGTTGCGTGTGTCTATGGGCAACGGTCACTTCGCTATTTCGGCGATTTCAGGTGGCCGCTCGCTCGTTTGCACCTTATGATATGAAAAAAAAAGGTTTTGCCCACAACTTCATCTGTGTAGAAATAATAAAAGAGTGAAAAGCATCTTGTTTGTTGTTTGAGACTATGTTCTATATGTTGGTCAAATTTCTATTGGATGTTTTGAACTTTTGAGAAGTTATTGAATAAATATGTGAAAAATGCAATCTTCGGGAACAATATATATTTTTGTTCTTTCCGACTATGTTCTACATCTAAGTCAAATTTCATTCATTCCATGCAACTATTATGGAGATAGCTTCTAACAAACATCCATCCAAATTTTTGCATTTATAATATTAAGATTTAGATTAGATGGTGTAATGTTATGACTATGTTTACCCTTTTTTTTGGTGTAGAAATAAATATATTGTACTAGTTTAAATGATATAATATGTTTTGTATGTCAGTCTACACCCGGCAGTGATAAAGCTGGGAGTTCAATTGGCGTCGCAAGTTGTGACAGGCTCCAACGCGAGGTGTATAGCGCTGTTAAATGCACTAAAAAAGGTTATTGCAACATTTTTTATCAATTCACTAGCTCTCGCCCGTGACTCCGCCCGTGCTGAAATAAAAAATACATAATTGGTTGCCTATGTGTTCATCCAGAGTATGTTCTATATGTATGCCAAATTTCATAGAGATTCTGACGAGACGTTCGTGGACGTGAATTTCATAGAGACGTCTGAACAGACGTTTTGGAGATACCTTCAAACAAACATTCACCCATCCATCCCAACATTCGCATTTATAATATTAATATAAGAAAGATTATAATATTAGTAAGAAATAAGATATAAACTACTTACAGGATAAAAAATATGAAGTAAAATGTAGCAGAAAAAATAAGAGAAAAACTAAAATAAATTAATATTTTTACAATAATACTTCTATTTAAAGATATTAAAATGATATAGTTACCTAATTTAATTTCATTATTACATTTATGTTTTTTAATTTCTGAATGCTATAAAGTAATTTGGTAAATACATATGGTAGATGGTGAGGGACTACACGCTGCCAGCTAAGACGGAGTTCGCACGAGGCCTGGAGTCACACCTGGCAGCCAGCCTGGACTTCCTGTGGGCCATGCGCCAGCCCTCCGCCTCGCAGACCAACGCTGTCAAACATTTTCGACGTCAGCTCATGCAACTGCCCAACAATTTGGATGAATTTCACGTCAGTATAACAATTATCTTGCACTTCACTTGTATTTTTATTTATATAATGTATTTTTTTGATTATAAACAATGACATAGTATTATATATTTTAATAGGCAAAGAAGAGTCTAGAGGAAGATATCGACAGATACATAAGAGAGCAGATCGATATGGCGGGAGAGGCTATCAGCATCGCCGTGCGCAACAAGATATCTCACGGAGATAATATTATGACCTATGGATGGTAAGCTAAATATTGATCTTACTAATATTATAAATGCGAATGTTTAGGTACATAGATGGATGGATGAACATATAGAACATAGTTTAGAAGAACACAGGCTACTAATTATGTTTTTTTTTATTCCGCTCAGACGGAGTCGCGGTAGACAGCTAGTTGTTTATATATTTATAAGTTTCAACTACCAAGAAATCTGTACACTATCATAGTGTTCAAAGACACTGAGAGGACACAGTTTACAGCTTCTTTGGCAGTGGACATTCTTGATATTACAGTCATGACCACTTGTCGTACTATAAATTATTGCTTTTTTTTCCATTATACGCAACAAATTCATTGAGTTGCCGTGAAATTAATCATTAGAATTACTGTTTAGAAAACTATTTGAACCTCTTTAACACAAGTTTGATAGATAATTGAATAACAATTTCGAGATTATTTTGTAAGCTTCTTTAGCTGATGCCGGTCAGTTTTGAACCGATTCAAACGATCAGCTTGCACCTCGAATAAATTCGCAAATCATGGCTCAACCCGATGTATTATACTTAACGAGCCTCGGAGCCTTGAGCTAAGCTGCCAGTCGTAGAGTGACCGATCATAAATCTATAAAGGTACAAATTGAGTTGTTCTGCAGGCTGGTTCGATGATCTGGTCCACACATGTGAAGTGTGAGCTGATCTGGAGACGAGTAAGGCATTGTATTGCAGTTCATCGTTGATCGAGCGCATTCTGTGCGAGGCGTGGGAGAGCGGGGTGCGGTTCCGTGCGGTGGTGGTGGGTGACCGCGTGCGACGTGGCGCGCGCGAGATGCTGCGCCGCCTCGCCGCCTGCGGCCTGCCCTGCACATACGCAGACATCTCCGCTGTCAGCTTCCTCATGCGGAATGTCAGTTATATTACCATCTTATATTTACTCTCTCTAATGTCACGTAGACATCTACCAAACGTCACTTTGCTAAGTACTACTTTAAGGCAGACGCACTTTTTTACTCCGAGAATTCTTTTATCAGAAGCAAATTTCATTTTTTTTCTAAATATATGGTATCTTGTAAATTATGTTCAGTCATATTAAGGGTCGCTTTCTACTGTTGAAGACCTTGCGCGTCACCGATCCATGATCTAGACTAGGTGTAGGTGAGGCAGCATTAATATGGTCTTATTTGAAGGAGCTACCCTCCGTGATGTCTACAATGGGGCCAATAATGTCCTCCATAGGGCTAACACGAGTGTGTACTGTGTAGATAAGCAAGGTGGTGATGGGTGCTGGGGCGCTGCTGGCGAGCGGGTCGGTGCTGGGTCCGCTGGGCAGCGCGCAGGTTGCGCTGGCGGCGCGCGGCCGCAACGTGCCCGTGCTCGTCGCCTGCGAGACGCACAAGTTCTCTGAACGCGTGCAGACTGACGCCTTCGTATACAACGAGATAGGTCAGCCATACATAACACACACAATCCTACGATATCATGCACACAAGTGACACATAATATTAATGTTGACCAATTTATAGAAGAAATTATCTCGTGCTATATGTCCTCTTTTAATATTCAATTGCCTAAAACTTCGTTCGCACGTAATTGAAACTAATCTAGTAATAATTATAGCCTGTCACTCCTGGATAGTTTAGCTTCCTAACCGTGAAAGAATTTTTCAAATCGATTCAGTAGTTTTGAAGCCTATTTAATGCAAACAAACCACCGATCAAATCTTTTTAATATTTCCCCTTTATAATATTAATAGACAACGCATAGGCAATTTCTTTTTAATGATTTATATAGAAAGCTCTTACTTCCCTATTTTAGCGAAATTAATCGCATAGCATAATATTAATTTTGATGCACTATTACATGTAATTAACATACATGTACTTTGTTAAGGTGATCCTGATGACTTGATCGACAAGACGGATGAGAACTCACCGCTCAAGGACTGGAGATCGAATCCCAATCTGACGCTGCTGAATCTGACGTATGACGTGACTCCGCCGAGCCTCGTCACCGCTGTGGTGACAGAGCTGGCCATACTGCCCTGCACCAGTGCTCCTGTTGTCTTGAGAATCAAACCTTCAGAGTACAGCCCGCTTGGTTAGAAACTGTATTTTGACTGTAGTTACACTTGTAATGATTATGCCATCTGTTTTTGAAAGAAAATGAAAGTTCTAGGGTTATATAGTCGAACCTGGATGAGTAAGAAACCTTTATAAGCAAATCATTGTCCCAAACTACGAACTTCATTAGCGAAAAAATCTGGTTAAAGAGAGATTGCTATAGGCGAGAAAAATATAGCTATCCATTGGACTCTCCCTTATCCAGGTTCAACTGTATTTATGTTAGCTTTGTTTGTTATAAATTGTATAAAGCTTATAAATTGATTATAAAAAAAAGGTTGTGTAAATGACTTTATATGTACTTTAACTCTTTGTTTGTAAAAGTATTGATGGTTTTTAACCATTTATATTTATTCTGCTGCAGGAAACTGTCAAATTATTTTCATTATTGAATACATTTTTAGAGCAATTGGTAATCTAATAATTTATAAGTTTCAGTGTAAGATGGTAATGTTGCGAAAATTATTTTTGAAAAATATAAATAGCTTGAACCCGATTTTTTTCACAATTTTAAGTTCTTTTGAAAGAAGTAGTTATCAATGTAAACATGTTAATAACATTAAATAAGCCGGACATACAGATTTAGAAAATAATATATAAATAATTATTGTAAACTTAATATTGTAATTCATAGTTTTTTAAACCACTGCCATTGTGTAAATAGCAAACGGTATCACTTTCCTCTGAATATATTGTGCTCAAAGAATTTTTTTTTATTATTTAAATATAAATTGTCTCAATCTACTCAGCATTGCCAACTCTTGAAATAAAGTTGTTTTGAATTTTATCTTAAAAAAGATATTTTATTTTCCCATTTAATTTTCTTTGGGTTTTAATTTTAACTAATTGTATCTTTTACATTCACATCGGAGGACCCATAAAAGAACATTAACGATATACGCGTACGTAACGTCATCGACAAAATCCCGAAATTGCGCTGCTGAAATGTCGATACCGTACCAAAACGTTCTCACGAATATTCGTAATAGACTATGTTTTTTTTTTAAATAATATCATTAAATACCAGTCTGAAAGTTAAATTTAAGGTTAGATGCAAAAAAACACAATATAGATAAAAACACTTATATTCTCCATAAAATAAATGTTTGAGGTGATACAAATGTGCTTGAACAGAAATATAACCTTCCTAAAAATTTTATATAAATAAAAAATTATTAAAATTATATTACTCTTTATGAGGATGTTCAGACTTATGTATGGAGAAATCTAATCTTACATAAATTATTACACACAAGAAAAGCAAGTAGAGGAAGCCTACAACTAGTAGGGGCTCCTGCAACATCAGGATACGTGGGAATGTGTAACGAAGTTGGAAATCTTGGATGTGGTTCTCTACAACATTTGTCTTGGTAAAGGTTATCACTGGGCGACCTTTCGTATCTAAGTATGTATAATGCAGGGTGTCAGGTAATCTTGTGACACTGTATGGAATATTGATTTTGATATTCGTTGAACCTTCAGGCAAAACAATCTTGGTAATCAATTCATCAATTTGCATGTCATCAAATATATGATCTACTACTCGCATTTTAAGCAAGTATTCATTGCCTGAATGGTACAAGTACTCGTAACTTGGCACATTGTACCCAAGTGTATAATGTGACCTCCAACCACCAAACAGTGGATACCTAGGTCTGAGGTCCAACTCAACGGAATCTTTCTTGATTTTCATATTCGAGGTAGAAATATTTCCATTTGTATCCCTGTAGTACACATCAGCGGCTGAAGCTGGGAGCAGTGTCTTGTAAGAGCGCACGCTGGCAGGACCACTGTGATGGTCTTGTTGATAGTCATAGCGAGAGAATGGTCCTTTCAGTTTTGCACCTGTATGTTCAATTTCAATCTTTTCCTCAATAGCAATGTTGCCCCAGTGTGAAACTTCAATCAACCGCTCAAGCCGTGTTACAGTTAAGAATGGGGAATTGTTCTTGTAGTGTACACTTAATTCTTTTTCTGTAAAGGGTCCAGTGTTACTATAAGGACCATATAAAATAGTACCATCTTGCTGGGAAAACGGTTTCACTTTAGTAAACGACTCCACGGTCTTCGTTATCATAGCGACACTTGTTTTTTGTGAAGTCACAGGGTAAGGGGTGAAAAAATAAAGATTGCCATTGTATTTTACTAGTTGATCTTCCTGCTGTGTAATAGCCGTCGGATATGGGAGCAGTGATTTGGTATATACCGCCTCAGCTGTCAGCACAATGGTGGAAGCAGCGTTGATAGGTTCTTTTAATTCGACTCTCCAAAATTTGACGTCGTCATATCCTTTCACTGTAGTTTCCACCAAACGTAAATCTCTGTTATTATTATCTTTAACTCCAACAAAGGCCAAATTATTCTTCGTAGTGCTTTCAGCAGCATACAAGAAGTTCTTTACCGGTTTCTGCCCTGCGTTCTCCAAGGTTATTTTTGATGTTATTTTAACTAGTTGAGATGAAATGTCTATGTGGCGCTCGACATTTTTTATTCTTATATCATTAGATATTGTATCAACGTTTACACCATTACATTTTATTATAACACAAAGCAGAAATGCTAAGCTAAACGTTATTTTAGCCATCGCCGGTATCATTTTTCTTTTGACATTTGACAACGCACTTCAACAAGATGCGGAAGTACACGCCAGCGCAGGAAATACGTAACGGCATGTTCCTATTGCCAACTCCGTTTCAAAGAGCAAATACAAAAACTGCACGTTCTGCAAACTGAAAACAACGAAAGATCGTTTTTCACAACCCTTACACTGAAATGCGTTACAAAAGTGTTTTTTTTTGGGTTTTTTGAAACATATTTCGATAAAAATATGTCGATTTTTAAAACAAACTTAGCATGTATTTTACACTGAAACTTGTTGTATAGTATGCGGACACCCAGTTGTCAAACTTTTGGAAATTGTTCACTTTCATTACTCTTTGAAAAAAGTTTTAGTTGTTTGTAGTTTTTTTTTATTATTTGCGTTAAAATAAATGCAATAAAAGAATTTAACATAAATGCTTGAAAAATTATCTTATGTATTTCCTGCTACTAAAGCTTGTAATTCGTTGACATACTTATCCTTATAATTAAAGAAGTCAGGATATATTTTTGAAAAAATGATTAAATCGTTTATACGATTTGCTCTGCTTCTCTTAGGTAAGTGAACTAGTTTTTACATTACATTTTAAAATATGCTTGTTACAAAAAATGTTAATTTAATAATACTATTATTGATGTACAGTTACTTAAACTATCCTTTTATTTTTTTAGTAATAAATCAAATAATACCATGTGATGCCTTGAGAGGTTTCGGGAGAGGAAGCTATGGCGGAAAGTATGGCAGCAAAGGCTATAAAGAACCACAAGCGAAAACTTACGCTGGTACAGGTGCTTCCCAAGGATTTGCAGGACAAAGTGCAACCCGCAGAGGTTTGGGAATATCAGCTTGGGGAATCGTAACACTGGTTGTATCATGTATTTTAGCGATCGTTGGTTTATATTACATTTCAATTTGCTATCCTGTGATTTGTCAGAAGAACAAAAAGTATGATATAATGGGATTAACCAGTGTAGTTTAGTATATTTTTATTGTATCTAGAATTTTAAAGTAAGTAAATACCCAGTACTTAGCTGCTTAAGAGACTAGTTGATAACTGCAAATGAATGCATCAATTTTCCATATCAATGTTATCATAAAAAGTTTATTTGACTTTATTTATAAAGGTTTTGATATTTGTATAATCTAGTATTTTTTAAATATAGACTGCCAATTGATTTAGAATAAAGAACAAGGTTTAAGAGGACTGCTTTTAACGTAATATTTAAATAACAATATCAATATATTTAAATAAATGTTGACATTTTACAATTTTTTCATGTTTTCTCTATTTAAGAGAACACATATATAGGGATAAGGAAAGAGCTTCCATTAAATATTATATAATAATTATATAGCACAAATGTTATATTTAAATAATTTAATAAAAATACACTCAAAATGTTTCAGTACAAAGAATTAGAAATGAAATCATTATTATTTTTTATCAGTATTAAAAAAATTACATAAACCATATGTATATAAGTTCCATTCCTAGTTTAAAAGGAAAATAAAATGCCCATGAAAATTTATTATATCTTGAATATCATACAAACACTATCATATATCATATCATAAAATTTGGAATTTAAAAATTTCATAATAATAAATTCCAATAAAGTGCCATAGTATTTACACATTTTATTGAGGTTTATAATAAATACAATGGTGTTAATATTTTGTAAGAAAATGTACTAATAAAATTATGATGCAAATATTCGACATATTTCATGTTATTTCATAATAGTGTAAGTGGTGTAATTTACGGGAAATTCTGAAATGCAAATATGTTTTACAAAATTTAAACCAGCCTTGTAAGCTTTATATTATGGTCTGATTTATGTAATATTTTACAATAATTTTAAGGTAATAAAATAATGCTCAAATATATTTTAACTAGTATAAAATTTGTATTTATTTCCTTTATTACCTGTAACATCACCTGTACAGAGATCTTGAAATCTAGAAGTGTGTTTTTTTAACAGCTTGGTAGAACATGATAAATGGATGAAAAATTTCTAAAATAGGTAATTGTAACAAAGGATTTTAGACAACAGAAAAAACAATATTGATATATTAAAAATTTATAATAGCCTTTCAATTAGTAATCAAAACATGGCCACAAATATCAAAATACACACTGGAAGAGAGGCAGTCAAAACATTATTAATAATTGCCTTATTTTAACAAAATTAATTACATTATTGAGACCATTCATTATTACAGAATGTTACAAATAGATCTCACATATTTTAGTCAGCATTAATCAGAAATAACATTATTAATAGTAATAATTATTAAACTTTCATTCTAATTAATTAATGAGATAAACGCTGACCAAAAACTCCTGAGTTATACAGTGATATATTTATAAAAACATATATAATAAAAAAAAATCCAAAACTACGCCATAATTTCAAAGATATGTTAAAAATTGTACAATATATCATTTGTCTTAAATGGAAAGATTCTATATAATATACAATATTATTAGTATTTATTACAAGAACTGTAGTAGATAAATGCGAATCTAAACTCTACACTACCTATGTTTACAAAACAAAAGAAATTAAAAGGAAACATTGATACTGAGCATTCTATTGAAAAAGAAAATTTTAAAAATGTCTGGACATTATTTTATGTGATGTTTTGAGACTACAAAGATCTTAATAATAATTAAGTGAAACTAAAATTGGCAGTCTTAAGCACTATCACTTATAATTCGTCCTTCTCCAAGTCCACATCGGAGAGGTCAATATCCTCTTCGGGAGGCAGTTCACCGTCCTTCCCATCCCAAGGCTCTGTGGCACTGATCTTTGGCATTTCCGCGCCTTTCACTGGCGCAGTTTGTCCTCGTCCGAATGAAAGATCCCTGTAATAAATTTAATATTTACCTAAAGATTTTTCTTTAAACATATTATTCTTCTTATGTTAGTAGATATTTTCAGAATGGATGCATGGATCTCGCTGAAATTTGGCATAGATGTAGAACATAGTCTGTAAGAACACATAGGCTACTAAATAAGTTATATTTCGCGCGGATGGATTCGCGGGCGATTCCTAGTCTTTGATAACTGTAGAAGTAAGTCAGACAAATATTAAAAAAGTAAGATTTATTATATGAAGCATAACAATATACTAGTACAAAGGCATACCTTAGGAACTCATTGATGCCAGTCTCAGAGAATGATCCCCTTAGTGTGGAGAACTTGAGTTTCTTAGCGTTGACGACGGCCATAGCCGGGTACCCGAACCCGCCCAGTTCCAGCGCCTCCTCCAGTGCAGGCTGCGCTCCCGCCTCCGTCCACACCCATCTACAAATATTATTAGCATTCATGTTTCATTCTGGGTTTCCACTACCGAAACATGCAGATAATTGTTATCTGTGTTTTTCCTACGACTGAGAGATGTGACTATAGTTGGATTGTGTGGGAAAGAGAATGTGTATGATTAGAAAAATTCCATTTAGTTTGTACAAACTTATTGCAGAGTTCGAGGTCAACACACATATCCCTCGGGACATTATTAGCTTATTTGCCAACTTACCCCCACATCTTGTTCTTATACTTGTCACCAAGACGGGCTAGGATAGAGATATAGTCATTGCGGCAAGCGGCGTTGCAGTCTAGTATATGCGGCAATATGGACACCACGCACAATGGCTTCTCACTGCACACCTTCAGCGTCTCTTCATTTACTACCTAAATAAGTAGAAGAAATTAATAAAAGCATTATATTTGCTGAATAAATATAAGTGAAATAAAATTAAGTCCACATAAACATAATATAATAGTGTTTTGCAAAAAAAATTACTACTTTACAAGTAACAAAATAAACTGAGTTTTGTATATCAATAAAGTAAAATGAAGTAATACCAATAAATGTATATGTACATTACATCACGAAATATTTACTATAGAAACAAAGTTTATTGTAACCGAGGGTCTATCATGAATATAAGCGATATAAGATTTCGTAACATAATCGACAGAATATTTCAATATTTTTGTGAGATTTGCCGCTATGCACAAATTTAATAAACAAAAAAAAACATGTACTTCAAATAGAATAAAGTTCATACTGTTAAATTTTGATTTGAATCAATCAATATTTTAATCTTAATTACTTCAACTTTCACAAGTAAGCAATTAATTTTCATTGTAGCTTATGATTAAAGTGTTATAGAAGGAAAAAAATTCATTAAACATTAACTTTTGGAGGCTCATAGTGAACTGGCGTGCAGTAAGTATTGTAGTTTTTAACAATACACAGTTACAGTGTTTTTCGAAACTCATTAATAAAGAGAACTTGAATTATGCCAATTTCCCGTAGGTTCAACGTTGGCAATTAACAATAAATATTTGGAGCAAACCTTAATCTTACTAAAATTATAAATGCGAATGTTTAGATGGATGGATGTTTGTTTAAAGGTGTCTCCAGATGATGATTGATGGCTTGTCTTCTATAAAATTAGGAAACAACTCAAACCTGAATAATTTCTGGTGGAGCAATGTTTTCAGCGAGCTTCTCCAATGCATAAGCCACAATATCGCTTGATGTCCTTCCACCGTTGTAATCCTCTACAGAGTCAGATGTCTTCTTGCCAGCATTGAACAGCTTGATAGTTGGGTAGCCTTGCACTTGGTAACGTGAAGCCATGGCCTGGTGCACTGTCGCATCTAATGCACCAACTTTCACCTGGATATTTTTTTTTCAATTTTAAATAAATACTTTTTTAGTTGGTGACAAATTAGAAGTTTTATATTGGTTTCATTATGAACCACCAGTATTATTTCTTAAAATTTTAACGTGATTTATTAGTTAATTATAACAACACACAGAAATATAACTGTTAAGTTTGTATTTAATGTAAAAAAAATATAAGGTTACTACAAAGATTTTATTTGCAATAAAGTGAAAAAAATTAAACAAGTGGGTCAAGGAATTTGATTGTTCTCAACATGAAATAAATGTGTAAAAAAAATTGATAAATTTCAACCAAGAAAATTAATTATTGATGGTTTAATTTATTTTTAATACAGAATTACTATAAATTTATTTTATTTAATAATCATATTACAATAAGCAGTGTAATAAAATATTTATTATTGTGTTGTGTCATTAAAATTAAATTAACAATTACTGTATAAACATTTTCATATGTCTTCAATTGGAAATCTCAAAATTTTTGGCTTAAGACATATTATATTTTCTATTTCTTGATGATTTTTACAGGTCAATGAAATTTAAACAGTAGTTCATTGACTTATATTAAATAATCTATATCATGCATACCTTGCCCTTGAGTTCTGTAGCAGCCTTAGCCCAGTGGGGCTCCAGATTCTTGCAGTGCCCACACCAGGGAGCGTAGAACTCTACCAGCCAGAGATCTTCGCTATCCAGCACCAGTTCTTTAAAGTTGCTGTCAGTCAGTGTGATTACATCAGACTGAAACAAAAATAAACTGATTTTTAGAAACTCTTTAATTTCAATTAACATGTCAAATTTAAATGATTCATTTTATAGTCATGTTCTAGCATCAGTGAAGGCAAATATTTGTGAATTTATTAAAATTACTTAAATAGATCAATAAAAATTTAAGCGTCAATAGCCTAATGGTTAAGGATACGGATTTCCGATCACGAGGTCGGGGATTCGAATCCCGACATTCGACTATTGTCGTGAACCATATCCTAGCACAAGCTCTATAGCTTAGTTGGAATGGTAAAAGAAATATTAGTAAATATACAAAAAAAATGTTAGGCCCATGTTTATTTTAGGTAATTTAAAAAGGTGACCAAGTGATAATACAGCCATGTAAGATTAGGCTGTAAAAGTAAGTATTTATGTTTCTCTATAACGCTTTGAAATGTTCGGACAAATACAACAAGCAAGAATATAAACCCACATGGTAACAGACATGGTAATATGTTTAACAAGGTCAATAATTGATTAGAATTATTGTGGGTGTTGTATGACATGGTGAAAGGAGAATTTGATGAATTGATAGATGTAAATCTGAGTACTGACCAATGCTATGTGTGTAGGTGCAATGTAACATGTTACACAAAGAGCAATCATACAGACAAAGCATGGTGTAACATTATGCCATTAAAGAGGAGATATCTAAGTATAACAATTTTATGTTGCGAAAACAATGTAAAATTAAAATCCAAGTACAATAAAAGCTAAGTAAGGCTAACTTACAACTTAGTAAAATTATGAGATTGCGGTATCTTGCTTTTGCATACTTATTTCTAAAATATGTTACACATCATCTTGTTTACATAATTAGATTATTCTATGATAAAATGCATACACATGTATCCATTATATTAGATAAGATGTTATTGCCCTCGTTTTACACTATAGCAAAATTTACTTACTTCAATATTGGTCTTAAAAGCTGATGTATGCTTTATACAGTTAAAAATATAATAGAAGTTTTAAATGAAATACTCATAGAATCTTTATATATTATTTTGAAAATAAATTTCAATCAATAATTAGTATCTATTTTTTATTAAATTTATATTTAAGTTTCACTATCCTGGGTGGATCATCATCAAACACTTTGCCTCGGAACAGATTCAATTCGAGCAAATTTATATTATTTCCTTTAGTTTTCAGTGGTGCTGTCATTTTAGGCTGTTCGATTTGTTTCACAAGCAAAATTTTCTTAACGGGCTTCCATGGTATCTCATGGCCATACAAGCCACTTCTTAATCTCCACTATTAAATTATTAAAATCTTTTTATAAGAAAATTATAAAAAATATTTGATCATTGTATAAAATAATGCGAATAGATCTTTCTTTGTTTTAAAGTGGCCCCCAACAACATAAGCTTTCCAATTTAACATAAGCAATTTTATATCTTTTATTAAGTTACGAAATCCATTAGTAGAAATGTTAATTTAGAATTTGACCTCAATTTGAAAGATATTACTGAAAAATTGCTATTTACCTTATCTGATGATCCACCAGACTTCTTCCCAAGGTTTTCATAGGCTTTCTCCTTTGCTGCTTTGATTCCTGCATCCACAAACCCTTCAGCAGTTCTTTGACCCTGGTAAGGAGTATGTTTGCTGCCAGAGAACACCTTGATAGTGGGGAAACCAGTAACTCCATACCTCTGAGCCAAGTCTTTGTGCTGATCTGCATCTACACCACCTACTTTGATGACGCCCTGTGATCATAATAAGAAACTACTATCACTTACAACTTTATAATTACATTACTTCTTAGAATGCTCGAAAATGTGCATTTTGAATGGCATTTGGACTGATCACAAATATGAATTATCTTTACCGAATAACGAATGTTTATCAAAATTACTATCAACTTGTTGACAAAATAAGAAACTGGAGTACAAAGTACAGATTATTAATTTTGGACAAATTTATTCAGGTAGGTAAATTAAAAACTTACCTTTAAAGCACGAGCAGCTTTCTTGTATTCGGGAACAAGGTTCTTACAATGTCCACACCATGGAGCGTAAAATTCAACTATCCATATTTCATCAGATTTAGTGACCAGTCGGTCGAAATTGCTAGGAGTCAATTCTATAACATCTGACGAGGAGTCGTACAAAGCATACGTCCCCGCGACGAATAGGAGAATACCTGCAAAAGACCGTGTCATTATAGTAAATGCCGCACCGGTATAAATGAATGATTTGTAACTAGCATGAAGTACAATTTCATGGTTAAATATGTGTTATTAAAACATACCTAGACTGCGCATTTGTAACATTATCGCTAATTTTATAGTTTCAAGTAAACAATAATTATGTGCCCCAAGAGAATTTAATTAAACCGGCACCGATAACTTGCATAAAATGAAAAACACGTCAATCTTTTCAACCCGAATAACAACCAAAAAGTTCTGGACTTGTCAATGGATTTCGTGGATTCATCTTATTGGACATTTTATTTTTCGCGCTATTTTGGTAGTGTTACCATGAACATGCCCTAATAAACAACAAATCATTTCAGCTATTAACCTCAAATTAAGTAGAATTTTAGATATTAAGAATTATTTCAGTTAAAAAGTTTATTAATGTTGTTACATTCATTTTTAATCATAAGGCTGCAAATGAGCCTACGACCACTAGCATTCTCTGAAGAAGTTAATCAACCGCTGCCCGTAAACATCCCCAGACATACCAATTCGACGGAGGACCCTTCCTTTCTATAATAAAAGGGTAAGAAGGGAAAGAGGACCAAAATTAGGTCTCAAGATAAACCTACAGTTTTTTACTCTATTTATATAGTCTGTTTCTTTTGTTTTTCCTTTTTTTATGACATTTGACATTTCAAAATTATATTGCCTTACCACTTAAAAGACTTAATTTTTGACGGTAAAATATTTAAACAATAGAAAATATTCACATCTTTATAAAATAAAATGCATAATGTTACGTCCAATGTTATATGGAACCCTTTTTAAAGGTATTTATGCAATATTTGTAAATGTGACAGTTGTGTTTTTGCCGCGTTATTTTGATAATTTTGGTTAGGTCGATGGCACTTGGCACGGGGCTATTTAGGCGGGAAACTAACCGACAATCCGACATTAGACATTAGCAGTTCACATTTTTTTGTAATTCCCTTTTAATTCACAGTTTGCAGACAGATTCATAAAATGAGTATCCCCACAACAAAACCATTTACTGTATTCGTAGAAGGCAATATTGGAAGTGGTAAAACAACATTCCTAGAACATTTTAGACGATTTGAAGATATCACGTTGTTGACGGAACCTGTTGAAGAATGGCGAAATCTCCGTGGATGGAATCTATTGGTATGATTACCTTTAATTAGTTATTACGCCAGTTGATTGTTAGGTCTGTCTCCATATGTACTTATTATTACGATTACAGGACCTCATGTACAAGGATCCAGCAAAATGGGCTATGACTTTTCAAGCGTATGTCTCACTTACTATGTTGGAAATGCATCGCAGACCGACTACTACGCCAGTAAAATTAATGGAGCGATCAATATACAGCGCTCGATATTGCTTTGTAGAACATATGATGAAATCAGGTGTCATGCATCCCGCTCAGTTTGCAGTCCTCGATGAATGGTTTAGGTTTATCCACCAACAGATACCTATTGATGCAGATCTTATTGGTAAGTTATTTTTAAAGATCCAATGTTAATATTTGATTGACCTGTTTACACAAATATCTAGGTTATACTATCTTAATCTACAATTACTACTTAAATTTGATTTTTAAATCTACGGTATACTTTTACCCTGCTTAATCTTGATGTATGCTCATCAGAATATAAATAATATTTGTTGTGGACTTGTAAATTAAATTATGTTTATTTTAATTTCAGTGTACCTAAAAACAACTCCAAGTGTAGTATATGATAGGATAAAGAAGAGAGCTCGTTCCGAAGAGCAGTGTGTTCCGCTGTCTTACATAGAAGAGTTGCACAAATTGCATGAAGACTGGTTGATCAACAGGGTGCATGCTGAGTGTCCTGCTCCTGTAAGCTTTTCTAATGGAAACTTTTGTTATTATTAGCATTATATTTTAATTTCGAATGCATGTAGGAAATATTTGTAGTATGTTTGATATTACTCTAAAGTATGGCAACATGATGTAGATTATACATATATATCTAGGGAAATAAAACAAAAAAAAAATGATGTAATGAATTACTTATATTTACAATTATTGCATCATAATTACACTTTTAAATTTAGAATTTATTTAATGGCAAGGTCCTTGCTTACATTATTTCAGCTAAAATCACTCTTACAATGAAAAATTGATTTCAGTTAATCCTGAAAACATTTTGCAAATGGTTATTTTATATATGAAACTCGTAAACACAATGTTAGCTACCATATTCTTCCGATACAGCTTTATCAAGTTTTATATATGAAACTCGTAAACACAATGTTAGCTACCATATTCTTCGATACAGCTAAATCAATTTTTATCAAGTTTTAAATGCATATTGTGTAGGTCTGAGAATTGGCTACTATCTATTTTTTAATATTGTGCACACGAGTCGCATGCAATACCTAGAAATATAAAAAAAGGATATAATTTATTACATCTTTAGTTTAAATAGAACAACTTAGGTGTAACATTTTTCTAAATATATTTCAGGTGTTAGTTATAGATGCAGATTTGGATTTATCTAAAATAACTGAGGAGTATAAGAAAAGTGAACACAGAATCCTCAGACAAGCCGTTGATGTTGTGATGAATTCACCAAACAAACTTAGCCCTAAGAAACCAATCACAGGATCGCCTATTTCTATTGTACCAAAGATAAGACTTTAACAGTTTGATTTCATAGAAATTTAATTTATTAAAAATATAATAATATCTATTTTTGCACTAAGATCTTCGAGATAATTAGTAGAATCTTACTTAAATATCATGATTTGGAAAATGGTATAAAAAAGGGTATTAAAAAAATAGGATATGTATAATTTGTAGATACTGAATTAAATTTAAGACCCATGTGATTTTAAGTAATGAAAAAAACTTTAAAAACTAGTGTAGCTAAATTGAAAGTGGTACAAACAAAAGGATATAATATCCAAAATGTGCTTTCCTGAAAAACTGAAGTTTCAGCTTAAATTATTAGTGTAAGTTACGAAATCCCCCTTCTGTTCGTAGTTTTAATTTTTTTTCTCTATTATTGTAATTGTAACCAGTATTGTAATTTTATTAATAATTAGGATATTTCTTGATGTAGCCTGTTTCTAAAGCTAAATGTTCCAAACTTGATGCATTTAACAAATGGATTTTGTTCTCTATTGTATTTTTGTTTGTATGGGGTTCAAATATTATATTGATAGACAAAAGTATGAATGTAATACTTAAAAACTAAGTACCAGTACCTAAATATATATAATATTAAAGATATAATTGAAATATCTTTCATGGTAAAAATATCATTGTTTCAAATAATTATGGTTATACTAATATTTATATGTAAAGTAATTAACTGTAGTTATATTGATTTATAAAATTCCAAAGATTCTTTTCTTTTATTAGTTCGTATTCTGACTATTTTGAATTTGGGTGATTTTATTTTAAAGGTTATTTTGTAATAGCATTTTCGACATAATTAACTTGACATTGCAAATTAGTATGACAAAATGACATTCCCCACACAGATCTGTACATTAATTAATTTCTTTGTGACATTTTTGTGTTTTTTAGTTAAGATTTATTTATTATTTTATTTTATGTATGTATTTTGATTGACTTACTCATGAGACGGATTTGTTAAATCTCCATATTCTATTTTAAATGTTTGTACACTTCATATCTGAATTTAAAACAATATTTTAAAAGGTCAAAATAACTTTAAAATTATGAAATTGTATACTTTAATTTTTATCAACTGCATTTGTAAAATTATTCACAAATTACCAATCGTGTTATAAAAGATTTAAAATATTTGATCTTCTATAAGTCTTGATATCCTATTGCGTCTGTATGAATGGATAAAAAGCTCGGATAAAGAAATACAAAAGTTAACTACTTAATAAATTACTAGTAATAATACTGTTCAAACTCTTCATATTTAAGCTTTTTAATATAAGATACCTTAATTTTCTATTAACGTATTATTTTAAGATCAATAAAGATTTTAATTTTAAATATAAAGTTGTCTTATTATATCTTGTAATTTCTATCTTGGATTTTCCAATAGAATTTAAGAAAACGAATTAAGCACTTGTTTGGTGATGAAATTCAATGAAAGAAACAAAATAGAACCAGTTATCAATTGGACTAGTTTTTGTCCAAAATACTGCATTTTATTTTAAAATTCAATTTTTTACATTTATTAACGTAGTTGTAAAGTGTTGCAATTCTAAAAGTGATTGTGGCGCCCTCATCGTAGGTTTATTAATATTTTGGTTACGCAATAATATACAAAATCGAACGTGTATGAGCAGTAAGTTTTATTTGTCGTTAGGGCGCGTCTGTATCCCATATTTAATTATACTCGGCAAATGAGTCCCCGCACAACATTTGCTTTATATCGACCGATCATTTTCATTCGTCGTTAACCCGTATGCCAGGACTCCTCGCATGCTGTTTACCGGCCGAGTAACGAATTTGCACCCTTAAGTCCATATGGTTGCCTATGATTTTAACATTTCAACATTCAAGATATTCGGGATTTAAGACTATTATTTTCTATAACACGATCGTCATGTAAGAGATTTTAATTATTAAAAATATTATTTTAAAGACTTTTTGCATTTAAATTTACTGCGACTGAATTGCCTTAGCCTGAACTGAAAAAAGTTAAGAGTCGGTGTTGCTGTATAATTTTTACATATTGCTCATTTCTGATTTTTCGGTTTTGATAAAGTTGAAGATAAATTTAACGTTATAGGATATAATGAAACCAAATTTTTTTTTTATCGAATGGAATTCCCGAAGTTTTAAAGATATAAAGCGTAAGCGTTTCATCATACCATTATGTTAGTGGAAGTGGCGGAAAGAGCACGTAAATACGAAATCCCAAATTTTAATTACCTCTAAGAATTTCAAGTATTATTTTATTTCCCTTAATCTAAATTCATGGAATCTCTTAAGCTGAGATTCATTACATGAACAACAATACTAGACGAAATTCCCGTAAAAAAGGAAAAGGAAAATACAAATCATGGCAACATTTTAACGTCAAAAGAAATTTTTGTCATTCTCAGGTGTTTACATGCCGATAAGAATTTATTTAGGTCAAATTTATATTTTAATATTTTATTAGATAATGAATTTTTGTAATCAATTTTAAGTTGTAATTTGCACTTTTACAAAATTGTTTTATTATATATTGTGATGACTTCTTGTTGTGGTAATGAATTGATATTTAATACTGCATTAAGCGAAGTAGTATCTAGTAATTTAGAGTTAATTGCAAATTTAGTACAGAACGAGTACGGTGCATGTGTTATCCTCGGTGCTGTTGGGCTCGCTAGTGCCGTTTTAGCAGTATTTACTTTTAGAAATTGTGCTAATATCTCAATTACGTGCAAGAAACAATCCCTTTTTATGAGAAAGTAAAAGTTATGCAGTTTATAGTACTCTGCTGAGGCTACCAGGTATGTGATTTATCTTTATTAAATAAAATAATTATTTTAAGTATTACCTGAACCCAATATGTTTTATACACATGTAAGAAAAGTAAATACATAAGTAATGATTATTAATATTTTTGAGGTATATTAAAAATATTAAATACCATATTATAAAGTTAAATTAAATCCTCAGTTTTATGTGAGGCTATCTATAAAACAGTATGTTTAACATATGCCCAGCTGCATTTAGAACCACAGATTACCGACCGCTGTCTATTGACATCCACATTAAGCTGAAATATTGTAGATACTTAGACTAATATATGTGCAATTTAATTAACATATCTTTCTCTATCCTATATGTCCTATGTTAAATTTACCTCAATCCCATCCTTTTTGCATAACAATATGTGGGAAGGGAAACATAACTGAAATTTAGCCTTCAGGCATATTTAAAATTATTGAATATAGATTATAATGAAAGTTGGAAGACTTTAACTATACAAAGGATAATTTAAATAAGAACTACATGTAATTTTTACAAGGATTCAATAAGTTACATGCCTAGAGAGATATATGTTTTAGTTTATATTTTAAAGATGTTTTATGAATATGACTATAATTTCATATTGTGTTTCATCCATTAATAACTTAAAATTTACTGATCCAATTTTAAATCATATATTTAAAAATCAGAAATTGTTTTGGATAGATTAATCAAAAATAACATAATGTCTTATGTATATCGATGTAATCTGTATAAATAATTGAAAATGATTACTTTTGCTTTGTTCCGTTACAGTCAATTTATCTTTATGAATCTCTATTAATAGTTTGAATCCTCACCACTGCTAAAAACCGCAACCGTCAACGCCAAAATGCCGAAAATCAAATAGGCACAAAATACCAAAGTTTATAGCCTGCCCATGTATAGAGGTCAATGCCAAGGACACATCCAAAATTTCATGCTAAATACACGCCAGTTGTGGTGCCTAATACTATTGCAAAAAAAATATATAAGTGAGATATAAATTGCAGCTCATTTAATATATGCATATGTATATAAATATATGCATTTTACCGCATTCTGTCCGTGGTATTGAAAGCGGCGCGCGTAGATACTGGTCGTATCTCACCTCGAACGAAAGTGAGCGCGGCCAAGACCGGGTGAATGGCGCTAGTCTAATCGATGTTACCTCATTCCACTGGGCTATATCACTTTCCTACGCAGAAAGCGTAAATTGTGTCATGTTTATGCATTTCATCTACATTCCTCGAGCATATCTTTAACTATAATATTAATAAGATATTTTTTATATGAACATTTACGAAATATCTAAAACTAGTTGTCGCCTGCGACTTTTTTCGTAGAGTTAATCTCCTCTGTTAAAAATGTCAACCGTTTTTATTCTGCCGTTCTAGCGTGGCGTAGTAACATCAATCCATACAATCGTTCGCGTTTGATTAAAAATTTTAAAATTAAAATGTGTTAGAATTAATTTTGTAAAAGGTATAATATTTCGTCTTATTAGTGCACGCAAATGGTCCTACTCGTGTAAATTTTGTCTAAGAAAACTACACTTAGCGTCTCCTTAGGTCATAGCCAATTAACGAATCTAAGTGCGGCAGTAATGTTATTCGATATTAACTTAGGTATTAGAATTAAATTATAGATGTAAATGTTGGTATATTGGTTCGTAACTCCCGCATTGAGTACTGAAACCAACAACATACAACCGGGTCAATGTTGCGTGCTATTTCGTTTTCATAGTAACAATATCGATCATACTGAGCTAGAAATTTCTTGACAATGTACATCTTACGCTATCGATTGGCTATTCTGTAAACATTCGCCGTGGGTTTCTAATACCAAATTCTCAGTTTACAACATATTGTTATCACTGTTTTGTCAAAGATAATGACAGAGATGACGATGTTTTATACAGAGATTTTCGACTCGGAAAATAACAAGACAAAACAGGAATATCGAATTTTAAACACGACCCCTATATTTGCAGCTATTGTAGGCAACTATTACGTAATTAAATAAAATCGATTAGCAGTAACGCGAATTGTTAAATTTATAGTGTTCTGTAATTTGTTATTTCCCTAAGATATTAAAGTTTTCTATTAAGACCGGAGTTTCGAACAATTAACTAAGTAATTTAATTAACTACATAATAAATTTTAATGCTTCAAGCATATAACGATAAATAATACTATAGTACAAGAAGAGCTTTATTAATAACTTAACTAAATCGATGAGCATATATGCGTTGAAATATGTACGTGGTATGATCTCTACCTACCCTTGTAGGTCATGGGCGTTATGTTGTTGTTGATAATCAGTGTTTGCTTCGAGACATTGCGCCTTGTTAACTTTATGATTGCCCTCTGTTAAAGAGAAACGAAATAAAAAAGCTCTCATAGCCAATCGAGACAATCGTCAGCCGCTTTTACCGAAACATCGATTCGTCATTTACAATTTGTGTAATGTCAATCTGTTTCAATCAATCAGCGAGCCACGTTCTCTGGTACGTGTTTAATAATGATAAATGTATATTTAACAAAAAATACACTCGAGAATTAGTTTTGGTGACAAGGGCTTGGAACTTTTCCCTTGTGGCTTATGCCGACCCTCCATAGGGATAAGGGCAGGTTAATGATGATGATGTCTTGGTACTTTTCAATTTAATTCAAAATTTCCATAATCAGTTTATAATTTTGCAACAAGATGAATGTGCTTTTTATATCTATATTGTTTTTACAATACATTAAATCAAGCTAGCGAAATTATCTTTTATTTATATTTAGTTCTACTTATACTATAAGCTTAAATCTTAAGGTTTATAAAAACCTTGTGCGCCGACCCCACATGGGTGGGATAAGGCCAGAAAGAATTTTAAAATAAAGCATTGTAAATAATAAATATATAAATCCTTATATTATGATATTTAATACATGTTTTTATATAAAATTTATGTATTTGAATTATAATATGTTACGAATATGTCGAACACGTGCGGGATCAATTTATATTGGGCGATCGATTGAGGCGCTATATAATTGAGACAATTTAAATTATGAAACAGTCAAATTCATTGATTGTGTTTAATATAGGAGTGCACTTATGTGTCACAAGTACGAAAGAAGGACTTATTCATCATTCTCCGTTCTTGTATTTTCTATCTAAATAGTGGCAATTGATATGTCTTTTAAAATTGTCTCTATTTAATTTTTTTCTAACGCCGTAGCGTTATGTATGAATTCATGTATGAAATTCATGTATGAATCTCGGTATAACAACAACAAACAACATGTAGATTTATTCTCCTATGATCATTTTCTATCTTACTAATATTATAAATGCGTATGTTAAGACGGATGGATGTTTGTTTGAAGAAATCTCCGAAACGGCTGCATGGATGTTGCTGAAATTTGGCATAGATGTAGAACATAGCCTGGAAGAACACTCGGGCTACTTATTTAGTTTGTTTTATTGAATAAAATCTATATTATATAGTTTTTAAAAAAAGTTTTCATATAAATTTATTCTACTTCGTTCGTTACTATTAAGAATCACTGTAGAAAATAATCAAAACAAAATCCATTCGATTCGGACCGCATAAGAAAACATGGCAATAAAATATGTATTTACGGAATAATTATGTGACTGCGATAAATAGGCTACATATCGGCCTAGTGAATTATGTTGGGGTACGATTGAATATCATCTGTATCCTTCCCACCGTTGCCCTATCACGTACGCGGTAAAAACGCAACGCCGACCGCGGGCCGTGAAGTGGGGAGATCGGGGGACGGGACCGAGACATCGTAAATCGACTTTAACTATAAAGAAAAGGACTAGATAACTTACTAAATTAATTCGGCAACTTTTCGCGGTGCGAGATCATGACTTACGTCTTTATGAATGAAACACAAATTGAAACACACAAAACGAGCATACAAACAAGTAAGATTTTATTCTATTGTTCGGTTTTATGTCGGGTGCTTGACAGGTCCTGTCTTTTAAAAGTTAATGTTCATCTTGCATCGCCACGAATGCGATCCAAACTTTGTTATTTTTAATCTGTTCCTATCAATAAACCAAGTGACGGACAAATGGCTTTTGTCGCGATGCTACTAATCTGGTACTGATCCCCTTTTTTATTTTGTTAATGCCCAAGTAAGCTTTTGTTAGAGTCTGATAAATTTGATGTTTTTCACAGTATTAACGCTTCCCTAGTTTCTTTAGCTTCATAGTAATGTTAGCAAGAAACGATATAAAATTAAATCTTAATCACTATTCTTTTATGTTTTTAAGATTGTTAGATATAATATTTTATTCCTAATTACATTAAAAAAAGTTGGTTTTATAATACAGTGTGTGCTGGCAATATATCATTGGTGCAATTAAAGAGTCTAGAGCTAGAGCTTGTTGCTAACGTCGCGTCTAGTGCATTTAATGCGGCTGGATGATAATATCGTTACATTAGGCCAGAGATTTCCAAACTATTGTGTTATAAGCAAATATTTAGTGCGACCTAAGTGTATAACATCCACAGTTTTTTATGATGTTAATTTATATCGATAAATTAGTATTTTCACTACTACAACAGCAAATAATATGGGATTAAGTAATACGTCACTCGCTACAATGAATTTGAACATTACCAAATTTACTGAGACTAACATTTAGACCATTGTTTGGCGTTCGTGTACCACCAGCTCTGTCTTATCTTACTAGTATTATAAATGCGAATGTTTAGATTAATGGATGATTGGATGTTTGTTTGAAGGTATCTGGCGAACTACAAGATCTGGCTGAAATTTGGCATACATATAGAACATAGTCTAAAAAAACACATAGGCTACTACTACTAATTATGTTTTTTTTTGACTCCGCGGGCGACAACTAGTTAGTGAATAAATAGCGGTCTTTGAGAACCGCTGTATTGAGGTGGTTTGTGCTTTTATGGCGTGTTTCGACCGGACTAGGCTTCTAACAAGGACAGTTACCTTTA